CCTATATAATAAAGAGGTAATATGTAAATTGACCATCACACCTTCACACAAGGTGGCCACAAGATGGCCAGCAGGGGAGGGTAGTTGGGGGCGACCAGACAGGCAGGGGAGCAGTTAGGCGTTCGATTGGGCTGGCAGGGGAGTGGTAAGGGGCAATCAGGCAGACAGGCAGGCGAGCAGTTGGGAGCTAGCAGTCCTGGATTGTGAGAGGGATGTCATAGGGATCTGGCCTAAATTGGCAGTCAGACATTCCCTGAGGGGTCCCAGATTGGAGAGGGTGCAGGCTGGGCTGAAGAGCATCCCTTCCAGTGCATGAATTTTATGCACCAGGTCTCTAGTTTACAAATAAGCTAAATGATGGGAAATGTTAAAAAGATGTTGAATAAATAAGGGAAATACTAAATGCTGTTCTTTATAAACTTTATGGGGAAAAAGTGCATTGAGAAAGACTAGAAGGAAAGACAATGGCTAGGGAGTAGAATTATAACTTACTGCTTTTTTCTAGTTAGTAAACAAATCCATGAGTACCAGATTTTTGCATATTAAAAAGTAATTTTGGTATGGGGGAGGGGAATTAGAGAATGGAGTGCAAATTCAAATAAATTTCTAATTCATAGAATTTTAGGAGCCATAAACATATCATGCAATGTGGAAATAGAGCTTCGTGGGCAAGGGAGCATTCCTTTTTTCACTGTTTGCAAAAGAGATTGATTATGGACCTGATTTTAAATTAACCACCCTTAAATAAGTTCTGAGTTTATGAAAATATTGCTTATCACCATTTTATAGATTCAATAATAGTTATTACTGATACTTGTTTCCCTTGTTTAAAGACACTGGGTGTTTATATATATGATACACAAAATAACACAGGCTTGTGATTTAGATAAACAGGAAAAAGAAATGGTTATATAGTGAAAAATGATTATCCCACTTTATGTTTTCCCAGATTTAGCAACCCATTTTTTCTTGAGTATAACCTTATAAATTTATAGTTATATAACACTATCCACTCTTCTATATACCTTATTTCACTTAACATACTTTAGAAATATTGACATGTCAGTATGTATAACTCCATATCATTTTTTATATTAATATTCTATTGCATGGATATAACAATTTATAGGCAACCCCTTCCTGATAAACATTTAAATTATTTGTTTTCTCTGACCAACAAGGTTTCAGTGATATTCTTGTACAAATATCTTTATGTACATGAACAAGTATGTTGTAAAATAAATTCTTAGAATTAGAATTGTTGAGCCAAAGAGTGTTTAAAAATATCATTTTTAAAATATGATATTACCAAATTGCCTTCCAAAGTATTTGTACCAATTAACACTCCAGGGGAACATTTCTGGTCAACATGCATTTTTTAAAAATATATTTTTATTGAATTCAGAGAGTAAAAGAGAGGGAGAGAGAGAGAGAGAATCATTGATCCGCTGACTCCTGCATGCCACCCAATGGGGATTGAGCCCACAACCTGGGAATGTGCCCTGGACCAGAATCAAACCTGGAACCCTTCAATCTGGAGGGCAACACTCTATCTATGAGCCAAACAGCTAGGACTGGTCAACATAGATATTTAAAAGCCAACTCCAATGTTGTCAATGGCCACAAAAGTAACATATGTTAGTGGAGCAGGCTGGGGTGAGAAAACAGAAAACTGGAGAGCAAATTTCGTCACTGAAAGAAACAGCTTCCACTCAAGCCCAGTCTCCTAGCAATGCCTTCCAGGAGTCTGTGCTCCATGATTTGAATTTGTCTGATTTCTCAAAAGCCAAACCCTGGACTTCTGCATGAACTCTCCAGATTTTTTAAAATGTTGATAACTCATTAACATTTTAGAATTGGCATGACTAATAAAACACACGTGAGTGGGAATGCTGGTACACAATTTTGGAAGCTTCCCCAGTAAAATCTGAAACCAGCCCATACAAATAGAGGGCAAGAAAAGAAAAAAAAGAGGCAGATCACTGATTGGAAGGTGGCAGTTTTAACAAGCACCTATTAGTTCTGAGGCTTGTCTTGGACAGCTGCAAGATGAGTAGATCTTTATTATTATTTTATTATTTTGAGAGAATCAATTTATTGTTCCACTTATTCGCCCATCCGTGGTTGCTTCTTACATGTGCCCGGACCAGGGATCAAACCCACAACCTTGGTGTATTGGGATGACACTCTAACCACCTGAGCTACCTGGCTGGGCCAAGACAAGTAACTCCTTGCACCCACCTGTCAAATTCTAAGTTTAAATAGAGGCATTAACTGGGCTCAGTCACATATACTTTACAGATGGTCTCAACACGTTGCTCTCTCAAGGCTATGTCCTTGAAAATGACTCTACTGTGGGAATGGTGGGTAGAGCATCCATTCCAAGGACAGGGGGAGGGGTGAGGATTGCCCAGGTCCAGTTCTAAGGTCAATTGGTGGTTAAGTCATCTCCATTACTTCCTCAAACAGGGAATCATCGGTTGGCCCTCCAACTTGTAACCTACACTTTAAAATTTTTCACCCCCACATGGAATAGGCTGATTTCAACATACTGTTTTAAAGCTGGATTTCCTTAGATTGGATTATATTTTGTTTTTCTGATGAATTAGAAGATGGATTTTATTAACTACATGGTCACTATCCACTCAGACTATTTGACTGACTAAACTTTTACCTGAAAATTTTCATTGATGTTTCCTATAATATGCTCCCTTGACTAACATTTGTTTTACTTTAGAATTCTGTGTTTCTGTTTTCCTCCTTATATGGAACTACCACATATTCTAAGATTTAAGAAGTCATTTTCCTGTTATGTAATCTTCTTTTACCCAAAGGGAAAGAAATTTCTAATCATTTTTCTATGCAACCTTCCAGTCAACATATCCATCTACCCCCAGAAGAAATTGTGGAATAAATTTAAAAGACTTGCTGCCTCCAGTTTAAATAATATTTTTAATCCATGTAAAACATGTTCATATTAACTACATTTTTATAGTTTAAAAATAAAGACAATGTGAAAGAATAAACCCTAAATTTTCTAAGTTTACATAAAAATATTCATATTCATGGATAAAATACCATGACATTTTTAATATTTTATTATCTCTTGTACATAAATACTTGCAAAAGGACCAACCCAACAAAGCCAATGGATTGCATAATTATAAACAGGAATTTAGAGACAGACTCATGGATAGAGATCAGGCTGACATCTGTCTGGAAGGGGGTTGTTGGCTGGGGGATAGTGGAGGAATTGAGGAAAAAACAACAACTCACTGACAGGACAGTAGTATGGTTGTCTAGATTGCAGGGGAAGTGGAGGAGGATATAGAGGGGTATAAATGGTGACGGATGGAGACTTGATTTGGGGTGGTGAACACACAATACAGTGTACAGAGAGTGTGTTGTAGAATTGTGCACCTGAAACCTGTGTAATTTTGTTAACCAGTGTCATCCCAATAAATTCAATAAAAAAGAAAACAGATGTTTGTAGCATAAAACAAAAAAATATATAGAAATTAATGTTTGTAAACATGAAAACTTAGCAATGTAATATTAAACACAGTTACTTATTTGAAAAGACAGAAGTCAATGACCATTTTTACAATTAAATTTTGAAAACCAAAATTTTAAAATTATTAGCTTCATTTATTATAAATAAAGCATATGATTCTTAATTTTAGAGCTAATAAATTTTAAATAATTCCTAATTTTTAATGTCATCTGTTGAGATTTTTTAATATAAAAAACCACAATAACAAAAAAGGACCAAAAAACATATCAGAGAAACTTTATAAATTAGCAAAGCTTTCAATGTATATGTCTGTATACATATTTACACAATAAATATTTGTCTGTATTGACATATACATTGTCAATATTTGTCAGTAACAAATATACTGGCTGCTCATTAGAAAATATGACAGGTATGCATATCCATGGATATGCTATGGGATAATCTACTTTTGATTTCCAGATGCAAGGTCCTAAGCATTACAAATTTCTCCATTAGCACTTCTAACTATGTGCATGTTCCTACTTCCCCCTAAAAAGTATGCTGTAACTACTCAAGTGTGTCTTTTCAAAATAAAAACTGATTAGATCACCCTAAAATTTAAAAACTAACACTCTACATTAGGCATATTCACTGAAACTCAACATTTTAATCATAAAAAGAAAATTTAAGAAAAACATATTTAAATTGTAATCTGCACATCAGATTATTTAAGTGTGTCATCAGAACTCACTGATAAAATAAAATAAAATATGATAAAATATATTTTAGGTTTACCTAAAATATAAGTTAAGGCATAAGAGAAACTATGAGACCACAATATATATGGAAAACTGACCATTGAAAAATGCAAATAATTCATACAATATAGTATAAGCTTTAATATATAAATTAGATATCATTTCATCAGCTGTTTGTTAGTCACATCAGTCTAAACTTTACATTACATAAGTAAAATATTAAAAAGCTAGAAAACATCATTGCAATATAGATTCAATATGGGAAAATACATATTTGTGGTTTTATACACAATTTCAATTTATCCATTCTATACAATTTTTTAAAATATAAATGGCACTTTACATGCGATAGGACATACCAGTTTGGAGGTCCTACTATATTTTAATATATAGAAAAGTAAAGAGAAAACATCCTTTAATCAAGACAGTTTCATAGCAGAGGTGGAATGTAGAACAAGATTTTGCCTTAACACAATCTTGAATGAGATTAAAGAAATATAGGGACAGTTTCTACTACTTTCAATTAGCATTCTTTAAAATGAAGGCTACTGTGATTTTCTATTTTCTAAGTGTATCACAAACTGAGAAAACATAAAAGGGAAAGGGGGCAGGAGAGAAAACCTGATCCTTGATGAATTTTAAACAGCCCTGCCTGTGAGCTGCCTTGAGGCTGCTTTTCTGTTGACATTTCCTAAATTACTTCTGCCACTCGGACTGTGCATCAGCAGTCAGATGAGCTTTCCAGACTATGCCATCGTGTAGCCATAGCTGCCACAATGCAGTGCCACAAGAAGTCTGTCCTTGAGTATTTCTTTACTTGGGTATTCAGGTAACTTGAGCATGTTGATGCTTTAAAAGTAAAATATACCACCATTAAATAGAAAAACTGGAAAATTTCTGATTGTTTTGTCTAGCAATGAAAACTATGAAAATTAACATATAACCACCCTCTCAAATTTGCATTCAAATTGGAAAACCCTGAAGTAATATTTAAAAAATAAAAACAAAAGCAAAAAAGCCCCTGCTGTATTATAGTTTTCTTTAGCCTGCAAATGTAGTGGAAGAAAATAAGTTCCTTTCAGCCAAAAATAAGCAAGAACAATATCATTTGAAATGATGGTATAATTTAGTGACACTATGACAATTTAACTTTAATGCTGGTTGAACAATATTCAATTAAGTTATAGATAGTTTCCTCAAACATATTCCTTACCAAATAAGGGGAAAGCAAGGAACTATGTAGCTATTTATTTGTCAGTGATTCCAAAATGCTGACAGATTCTTTCTCTTCTTGTAGAAATGCAGTAATTAGACTTTTGATGACTCAAAATTAATCAAAACTTCAAAATGCATTTAAATAAAAAAAATGTAACATACCAGGTGCTTGAAGTTGGTAGAAGATTTGGAGTATATGGCACAGCAGCGATTGTAAAGTTTTGCAATCCACTTCCACCCATGATATTAGCAAATCCACCATGTGGGACCCTGGAACTAACAGTTCATATCTTAATATGTTGCAATCATTAAAAAAAAATATCTTTGTTTTAGATATATTTCCTAAGTTAGAGTAAGAATGTATTCAACTCCAGGTCACTGGCAAAATAATCCTTTTGTATCTGCAGCACCCCAACTTATTACTAAAAGTCACCATGTGACCAGTTATCCAATTTCCATAGAGACACCCTCCACATTTCTATAAGCTGTACTATGCTTTCAATTAGCCACAGCACATAGCTCTACTATTCATTTAGCATACTCTTAGGTGCAGAAGTAGAACATATTGGGGATCAGCTACAATTATAACAAACATTAATCATGCTCTGTTAACCATGATGGTTCTGTTCTGATTAGAGAAAGCACATTCTAACCTGGCTGAGAGTTGTACACCTTGGGACATGGGACCATTGGAATGCAGTCTATCCTCCTAGTGAGAACTGCCTATCATTAGGGAAAGATTTACAACTTCATGGCACCTAGTCCTCCTAGAGACACTTGCTCTTTACATACTTCAGCCCCTATTACCTGTCATCTGGTCATGGGCCACCCCGTAACTCCCCAGAGCCCACGTGACTTGTAACCTGTAATGATTATCCCATGCCCACTTCCCTATATCTGTAACTATTTCCCCACATAATCTCATCCTTCTACCCAATATAAGCAGTTGGCTTATGGTGGGGTACAGAGTAGATATTTGTGGATGACCAGCTGCTCTGCCATATTGCCAGCATTATTAAAATGAGCACTCATATGTGATTCACCCTGTCTCTGCTTAATTGGTTGAAGTAGTAACAGGCAGCCCGGACCCCTTGGTTGTCCAGTTACAATACTGCATGTACAATTATTTTATTTCATATGTTTCTCTATTAAACTGGGACTGATTTGAGGGCCCAAGTGTGTTATATTTATATTTGTGTTTGTATCTCTGGGATTAGCAAAATGATTGGTATCTAGTAGACATTTACTAAGTATCTACTGAATAAATAAAGGTTTGCTTAACTGAAGCAACAGAGCACCCAAATGCTTTCCCGTTTGAAAAGAATCTAGGGTCAAAAGGATTTTGTTTTGTTTTTCACAGTGGAAAGACTATAAAATTCTTCAGATTTCTCTTCCCAGAGATTCACAATATCAAATGTTGTTGTTTTTTAATGTCACCTAACATAGTCAAACCACAGGAAGGCTAATATAATATGTACTAGTATAAACACCACCAGAAAATTTAATCTTGGGTACATGGCTGTAGAGGATGTAATTACAACTTTTCAAATTCTATTGTTTACATTTGAAAGAAAATTAGTCTTTCAAATTAGCATATACACACACACACATTAGTATATATACACACACAAACACACACACATATATCATGATTAAACAAACTGATCCTGGAATAAACTTTGTTGTTTTTAAAATGAGATGTTCTAGTGCTTTTTGGATAAATTAGAATAATGGTAAGCATTTAACATATAGATGTCAATGCATACTCAAAGACAGTAGACTAATGTTAAAAATGTTTTCTAACATGATTCATAGTACAAACCATAATTCAGTTCAGTTAAAAAAAAAACTGTTTAAATTTGAATAACCAAAACATCTTGAAAAAGAACAAAGTCAGAGGGCTCACACTTCCTGATTTCAAAACTAAAACTACAAAGCTACAATAATCAAAACAGTGTGGAACTGGCATAAAGACGGGCAATATAAACCAATGAAATAGAGTAGAGAACCCCAAAATAAACCTACACATATATGGCCAAATTATTTTCAACAAGTGTGTTAAGTACATTAAGTGGGAAAAGTCAGTCTTTTCAATAAACTGCTGAAAAAGAACCAAGATGGCAGCATAAGTAAAAACCTGTACTTGCTACCTCCCAAAACCACATCAAAATTACAACTAAAATACACAGCTATCATCCAGAACTGTGGAAAGCTGGCTGAGTGGAAGAACTACAGCTAAAGGTAAAGAGCTAAAGAAGAAAGGGCATTGAGACTGGTAGGAGGTGTGGAGGTGCAGAATGGGCTGGCACCCAGGTGTGCCACTTTTTTAATCGGAAGGGAGAGACAAGAAAAAGCTAAAGGAGTTCATCACCACCACACCAGTATTATATGAAATGCTGAAGAGTATTCTGTTAAGAAGAGAAAGAAGAAGAAGAAAGTAAAGATAAAAAATTATGAACAAAATGACAACAAATACTTATCTATCAACAAGTGAATCTAAAAATCAAATGAATAAAAAATCTGATGAACAGAATAAACTGGTGAATGTAATAGAATCAGGGGCATGAAAATGCAGCGGACTGACAATTCTCTGGGGGAGGTGGGTTGTGGGGTGTGCGGGAAGAGATTGGACAAAGATATTATATGCATGGATGCAGACAGTGGAGTGGCAAGGGCCTGGGCTGGGGTGGGAACTGCATGGAGGAAACTATGGGGGGGGGGGGAATAGGGATATCTGTAATAATCTGAACAATAAAGAATTTAAAAATAAATAAATAAATAAATGAACTGTGCTGAGAAAACTGGATATACCAGAAAAAAAATGAAGTTGGACCATTACTTAATACCACTTACAAAAGTTAACTCAAAATGAATCAATGACCTAAACTTCAGAGCTAAAACTACAAAGTATATAAGAAAATATATGGGAAAAGGGTCATAACACTGAATTTACAAATGACTACTTGGATGTGATACCAAAAGCACAGGCAACAAAAGACAAGTAGATAAATTGGACTTCATCAAAGTTAAAAACTTATATGCCAAAAGATAACAGGAATAGAGTAAAAAGGTATCACAAAATGGGTGAAAATATTTTCAAATCATAAGTCATAAGGAATTGACATCCAAAAAATATACAAAACTACAACTCAACAATAGCAATAAAAAACAATTAAAAATAGGGAAAGGACTTGAATAGACATTTCTCCAAAGAAGATACATAAATGGCCTATATACAGCTGAAAAAGATGCTTTCTCAAATCATTTGTCATTAGGGAAATGAAATCAAAACCACAATGATGTATCTTCTTCATACACATTAGGATGACTACTAATAAAACAAAAACCACCAACCCCTACTTCAAAAAAAAAAAAAAAAAAAAAAAAAAAAAAGACCAAGTATTAGGAGATGCAGAAATTAAAACCCTTATGCAATGTTGGTAGGAATGTAAAAAGATACAGCCACTATGAAAAACAGCCTGGCGGTTCAAAAAAATGAAACAGAATTACAGTATATATCCAAAAGAACTGAAAGCAGAGAATCAATGAGATATTTGAACACCCATGTTCACAGCAGCATCGCTCAAAAGAGCCAAAACGTGGATGCAACCCAAGTGACCATCCATGGGTGAAAAAATAAGCAAAACGTGGTATATATACACACAATGAAATGTTATTTAGCCTTAAAAAAGGAAGGAAATTCTGACATTTGCTATAATACAGATGAACCTTGAGGGCATTATGGTAAGTGAAATAAGCCAGTAACAAAGACAAATAATGTATGGCTCCACTTAGATGAGGTCTCTGGAAGAGTCAAATCCACAAAGACAGGAGAACGGTGGTTGTCAGAGGCTAAGAGAGTAGGAATGGACAGTTAGTGTTTATTGGATACAGTTTCAACTGAGGAAGATAAAAGTTTGGGAGATGGATGGTGGTGATGGTTGCACAAAATAAATGTACTTAATGTCACAGAAGTGTACACTTAAAAATGGTAGCCCGACAGTGTTGTTCAGTGGTTGAGCATCAACCCCTGAACCAAGAGGTCACTGGTTAGATTCCAGTCAGGGCAAATACCCAGGTTGCGGGCTCAATAACCCAGTAGGGGGCATATAGGAGGCAGCCAATGAATGATGTTTCTATCTCTTTTGCCCTCTCCTTTCCTCTCTCTCTAAAAATCAATAAAAACTAGTAAATGTTATGTATTTTTTAGCACACACTATAAAAGCTATTGAAAATGAACCAAATTTTCTACTTGAAATCATGGATATGTATTTACTCACAGGAGGAAAAATTAGCAATCACTATATATGTATCTCTGAAAATAGCCATTTCTTTTCTAGTTTGGTTGCTATTAAATGTTTTCCTGATGAAATGCCTGAGCTTACCTTAGAGATCTGAGAGAATACTAAAAGTATGCCTGGGGCTTACTATTATAATATAATAAAATGCTAATGCATGAGCAATTCCTACTTAGGGCAAAGGAATATCTGAAGAAGACATGAATATGTCTGTCAACTGAAATAAAATTCAACTTTAGTTAATCTATGCATATTAACCTTTGCCTAAAAAATTAACAAAGGCAACCAAAAATGAAAAGGGATAAAAAAAAATAATAATAAAATAAAATAAAAATAAAAAAAACTAAGCTGTTCTCAATTTCTTATAGAGGCAGAATTTAAAAAAACAAGTTGAGAAAATGAGCCTTGACACTTATTCTTACACAAATTATAACAATATTTCATTATTAGGATATTTAAGCTAATGTCTTCATATACCTCAATTTTGAAAAGTAACCTAAGATTTTACAATTTTGACAGAATAAAAGAAACAGGCCCTCTCTCATTCCCTGCTGATCTGAAAACTGATATCTTTCTGAAGGATAAATGAGCAATATGTACCAAGTTTGTAAAAATGATTATACTTTCTATCCAAAAAACTTCCCTTCTAAGAATTTATCCTATATAAATAATGTAAGCTATTGGCCCACCAAGTAAATAGCACAAAAATTCCTATTTCTGCAGCCTTATTAATAAATGAGGGAATTTAGCAATTAAGGACAATTAAAGGAGGTCCATAAGTTAAAGAGTTAGGCAGCCATTTAAAAATTAGATATATAAATGGAATAATTTTTAGTGATATATTGCAAAATTCAAGTTATAAAACAAGAACAATGTCTTTAAAAAGCAAAAATTTATATAGGTGAGAAACATTCTGGAAGAATAAGGACAATGTAACAGTGATTATCTCCAGTGATTGAGATTAGAGTGATTTTTTTAAAATTTGAATTGCCTAACCTTCCTTCACAGAAAATGTAATTATTATGAAATTATTTTCATTAAGTTATGCAAATCACAGGGTATTTCTTGGCATGGAGAAGCCACCAAAAAAAGCAAAACCCAAAAAACTTAAGTTTTCTTTCATAGCTTTAGTCTACAGTCTGAATATTTATGTTTTAATTTATTCTTTAAAATTAGATGTATGGTGGGACTCCCAACTATTTTTCTAGTTATATAGTTAAAAGACTAAGAAAATAAAGTAAAATGTTAATAGCATTATCTATGTAGTAGAATTACTTAATAGAATTTTCATTTTGTTCTCGTTATCCTGCATTTTCTGAGCTTTTATAATGCTTATATATAGTTTAAAAATAAGACAACAGTGTGCCCGGCCAGTGTGGCTCACTAGTTGAGCATTAACCCATGAACCAGAGGTCATGGTTCAATTCCGGTCAGGACACATGCCTGAGGGGTTGTGGGCTTGATCCCCAGTAGGAAGTATGTGGGAGGTAGCCAATCCAGGATTCTCTCTCTTCACCAATGTTTCTCTCTCTCTCCCCCTCCTCCTTCCTCTCTCTGAAATCAATAAGAACATATTTTTTAAAAATAAGACAACAGTGAACCCTAAATTACATACCTATATTTTATATAGGTACACACTCACCATTATGTTTTTAAAAAACCCTGGCTGAGTAGCATAGTTGTTTGGGTCACCATCCCATACAACAAAAGTCTGTGGGCTAGACTCCCAGTTACTTAAAAAAGAAATAAATAATAAGCAGGGGTGGGGGGAAGTAAACACATCAAATTGTTTATAGTATTATAGATATTGCTGGCAGAGGGTGATTTTTCTTATTCTTCTAATTTTCTGTGCATAGGAGAACTATGCACATTTGTAAGAGAACAACATATCTATATTTTCATAAATAGAAGAAAACAGATAAAATTCCATGTTAAAAAGAATGAAAATTGAACCTTTTTTTTTTTTCATCTTTCAGAAATATAACTTAAAGTTTTCTAATCTATGATATTTCATTGGTTGCAAAAGAAGAATTTTCAAAGAAGTGTGGCATCACAATTATTTTTAGGGCATAGATCTTAAAATTCAAAGTAACGTTTGATAAGAATTGGAGAAAAACCACTGTGTATGGGTATTATATGTGTTATGATGCGTGTGTGTGTTGCCCAGCACACACAAATATTAAAAATCTGGCTACTACTATTGACCAATCTGCAGAATTTTAAACATTTACTGAGCACTACTATATATGTTTTATTTTAAATGCTTAAATAAATCTTTGTTTAATATCATAAAAGTGGAAAGGGAGGTAAGAAACTGACAATTCAGAGTAATAATTCATGTTGGCTGTTTATCTCTAAGCCATTAGAAATGGAATACATTAAATTACTTTCACATTATCATAAAAACACTTCCTACCTGCCAGTAACAAACTGCAGGAGAAGCACTCTCTCCTCTGGAGTAATGTCTTCCACAACTTCCCAGAACCACTGACAACAATGAGAACAAAAAACTTAGTTCAATTTCAGAGCAATCGTAGACTTAAAACCAAGAAATGTGCAGCATTCATAAAGCACATTTTATTCTAAGAAACTCATTTATCAAAAACTATTTCATACCAAGCTTTCATATGCAATTCCCATAAGAAAAATTTAGGGGGAAACTTTACTTCATTAATAATGTAGGTTTTCATCCAATAGTGCTAAAAAGCTTACAAAATTAAAACTTAACTTCATTCTAAGCTTTAGAGAAATTTTACCTGAATAACTGGATCTTGTCTTTCATAGCCACTTGTGTATTCTGTATTTTTTATCCAATCACTCACATCAATTTCTGGCATGCCAGAAAGCAGTAGCTCCTTTGGGGAAGAAGGAAAATATTTCATTATTCTTCTTTGGGGACAAAAAAACAAAAACCTATTACATTTAAAGAGTAAATTTGCCTTAATTAGAAACTAATTCCATGTAAAAGCGATTTATTTTTGAGACAGTGTCTGCATGTCATCAATAACAAGTACTACGTGGGAGAGAACCCTTGATACTGATGATCTCAAACACTGTGAACTGTGCAGATGTCTCTACATTGAAACAATTTATTTAAACATAAGGAGATGATACTTTATGTTTATAGATAAACACTTATGCAGCAACATCTTATATGTGAAGTACCTTTATAAACATTATCTTTATGGTTATTTTTATTTTATCAATTTGTTAAATTATATAAAGAGACCATTCTCTCAATATGAAAGTAACAACAACAAACACCTGAATAAATCCTGGATTAAGCAAAGGAAAACATCATAAAAAAAAATCCTAATCATTAGGAAAAAGAAAGTAATAAAATAAAAATAGTTGTATTTTTAAAAAAGATTCAGGCCTTTGAAGAACTATTCTGGAATAATTCGGATCTTTAATGTCAACTTTCCCCAAGGTGAGAGAGAAAAAAAAATTGCAATTTCTTAAAAACTTTAGTAGCCTCCTTTTTCCTAGAAAGATAATCAAATAAACAAAATAGCAATCAAATAACTAAAAAATGAAATAAAGAATGGCAAAAGTATTTACCACTATGTTTTCCCAGAGAAAAGAAAACATGAAAAAGAGCTTGTCCACATCTCTGAATCACAGTTGGGTTTGTTAACAGAGTCAGGTGAGGCAATAACCAGCCTACACTTAACTAAACCACAGACAAACTGGAATAGCAGGATGTGTTATTACACAGACATCAATGCAATGTAGTTCAACATCACGTTTCCTACAGCAACTACTCCTAATATATACCAGATAGCACACAGAGTTCTCTGAGGGTTAATGAAAGTTAATATAAGGTGGTGTCTTGGGTGTTTCTGAGATCTGAATAGGAGTCTGCAAGATTATCTCTTTTCCAACTTATCTAAGGCTAGATTTTCTCCAAATAGTTCAACCAAACAATATATCACAGCAGATAATGTGCAGCTACAGAAATAAGTACCCATTTTCTTCTATTAAGCCAGACATTAAATTGCAAAAATGTAAAATAATGCCACTCTTCCCATTATTTTTGTTTCATTCTGAAAAATATAGTTTTCAATTTAAAAAATTTTGTTAATAGGCAATAAATTATTTTTATATGAATTAATAAATTATTTTACATTTCTGCTTTAACTTCAAATGCAATAAACATCAATTAATATAACTCACATAAACAAAAAGGCTTTTGTTGTCAGGAGGTCCTAAGACCTTTTGTTTGAGAACTGCTAATGTTTTTGTTCTCCTTGCGATGGTATTATAAAATACACTAAATAAAGGTGCTCTATTAGTGTCCATTTACCACCCACAATAGAGTCTCCACTTTTCTTTGCACTGTTCAGTGCCCTAGGAGGCTGATCCTGGCACATTGGCTCTCTTATCTGTTGGTTCGGGTTGGACTCTGCCACAGAACAGGCAGAAGCCTGGAGGTGAGAGCACTTTCCGCTCCCTCCCTGCTTTAGCACCTCTTTCCAGTAGCCATGTCGCCTCATCACAGGGCTTCTTACAATAGCTTCCCCAACTGTCTCTTCAATTCCAGAGGTGATAAAGGCTTTCCACTGCTGCTAGTCTCTGGATGTCTCACCAAATCTTATTTATTCTTAACACTGCCTGCACCTCCATAATAGTCCCTTTGTTAAATGGTTCGTTATTTGAACCATCTGATGAAATTCGGTTTTGTGGCAGGACCTTGATAGAGACCTCTCAAAGGGAGGGAGAATAAATTTTACACAGGTCTTAAATATGAGCTCAATCTTCTTGCCTTCTAAGCTAAAGTTAGCTTTTAATAATATTAAGTATGCTCTCATTGCCAATAATTATGAATAAAAATGACTGAGGCTTTATTATCTTAAGATTTTGAACTATTTCATGAAAATCATATGTTATAACTTTTTATGAAGAGAATGAAAGATCTTTATTATCCTATTTAACACTGTTTTTCCCAAATAATCTTACCATCCAAATCAGCTCAACTTAATTTTAAAGCCAGAGTCTAAAACACACCAGGAATCCTAACCTAACTTCTTATATAAGAAGCACAATTGAAAATTTATCAGTAGCAGACCTAAATGTCAAAGACAAAAGAATATAAAGTTTTTAGAAGAAAACATAGAAAAGTACCTTCATGACCTTGGAATAAGAAACAATTTCTTAAAAAGACACAAAAAGCTCCATTCATTTAAAAAAATAAAATAAAAAAAGATAAACTGAACTCTGCTAAAACTAAAAACTTTATTAACTAAGATTCCAGAGTGGAACACATATATCTAACAAAGACTCCTATAAAGAATATATAAAGAATCCTACGGCCGGGACCGGTTTGGCTCAGTGGTAAAGCGTCGGCCTGCGGACTGAAGGGTCCCGGGTTCCATTCTGGTCAAGGGCATGTACCGTGGTTACGGGCACATCCCCAGTAGGGGGTGTGCAAGAGGCAGCTAATTGATGATTCTCTCTCATCGATGTTTCTAACTCTCTATCCCTCTCTCCTCCTCTCTGTGAAAAATCAATAAAATATATTTTTAAAAAAAAAAGCATCCTACGAATCAGTAACGAAGAAAACAGAAAACACAATAGAAAAATTGACAAATTACTTTAACCAACACTTCAAAACCAGAGTACACAAACAGATAATAAATATATCAAACACACTCAACTTCACTGATCATTAGGGAAATTAAAATCATGATGAAATACCACTACCGATCCACCCTAATGGTAAAAATACAAAATGAAATTATCAAATACCTGTGAAGAATGGGAACACCCAGAACTCCCAGCCCTGGTGGTGAGATTGTAACTTGACACACCACTTTGGAAAACCGTTTGCTAGTATCTATTCTACTGAAATAAATGCCCACCATATATGCCAATAATTCTACTCCAAGGTATAAAATACAGAGAATGAATACATTTCTCCTAAAAACATGTACTAGAATGTATGTAGCAGCACTTTTTCAAATAATCTAAAAACTAAAAAGTACCTACCAAATGTTTAAGAGGAGAAAAGATAAAACAGTATACTGACACAATGAAATACCTGCCACACAGCAATGAAAAGGAACAAATTATACTGCATGCAACGACGGTATTACTCTCACAAACAAAAAGCCATGCCAAAGAAGTCAGATATATTCTAGGTGATTATTCCATTTATATTAAATTAAAAAATGGGCAACCTAACTATGATACTATAAGTTAGGAGAGTGGTTGCCCATGACTGGGAATAGTGAGAGAAAGGGGACAAGAAAGGGGCATCTGGGCGCTTTCTTAATCTGGGTGCTGTTTTCATGCATGTAGTCAGCTTATGAAAATGCATCAAGCTATACACTTAGGATGCCTGTACTTTTATCTATTATATGTATACTGTAATTTAATAAGTTTCACAGAACTTATCAGTATCAGTAAATTATGAGGCAAAGGTTTTGTCAATGGTTTATGTTGTTGCTATTGGTTTTTTACACCATAGGCCCAAGAAATAATGTAATTCTGTTTAACTGTTCATAAGTACTCCATCATTTTTAAATGCTAGAAGCAACTTTTATGGTTATGCTAAAATTAGACAAGTCTATGCTAAACAAAACCATTAATCCTAAACCTAAAAACAGAACCAAAAAATTCAAAACTGGTTTGTTTTTGTTTTTTTTTTATTATTGATTTGAGAAGTCGATTTGTTGGGGATCCAACCTTGGTGTTATCAGGACAATACTCTAACAACTGAGCTACCTGACCTGGGCCTCAACATTGATATTTAATGAAACTAAATCACAAGGGACTTCAAAACCAGCAGTCCTGGATTGTGAGAGGGATCCCAGATTGGAGAGCTTGCAGGCTTGACTGAGGGACACCCGCCCATTCTGAGCACGAATTTCGTGCACTGGGCCTCTAGTTAAGTATAACAAAACATTCATTAGAGAATGGGGGCTGGCAAAGAGAGTGGCTCTCACAGAGTTTTGAAATGGAAAATTATAAAATTATATACATGATGAAATAAGAAACTGAAAAGAAAAGCCAAATAATCAAGTCTTTTTGGAAGTATGAGAAGTTTGTATTGGTATTCTTTTTTACTACAGATAGCAAATAAATGGGAATTTTGCTTTTGGGATGCACAATATGGTTATTAAGCTTAAGAGACGCACAATCACAAATGTAAAAATCTAAACACGAACATTAAACCATATGTTTTATACATTATTCCATGCACTCCAGTACTCCAAAATTATTTTGAGTTACACTGATAGGAGTTTTGTATTGTTGTGTTATGATAAAGGAGCTGATGTTCTTCCTTACCAACTCAAATTCATCAAACAGTTGTATGAGGGAAGGTGGAATGAACATATGAAAGCCTTGGAGAAAAGCATTGATCTGTGGTTGAATGGCTCTTGTCATTCGAAGTTCTGTAACAAGCTGAACATACTCCTCCTATTAAAAAATAATTTTCACAATGACTTTTTTTTTAATTCCACATACTTACGACAGTGTTGATATAATCACTTCTCATTTAAGAGGTAAAGATTTAGAATTAAATTTGCACCAATGTTCATACATCTCAGTAAATCAGCATTCCACCATTCACTAAACTGTTTCCTCACACCCTGTCTATAAAAGCAAGTGCTATCAAAATCAGTGTTCTCACTTCTGGGAATATATTCTAAGAATCCCTGAACACCAAGCAAAAAGAATATATTCACCCCTATGTTCATAGCAGCATTATTTACAATAGCTAAAATCTAGAAATAGCCCAAGTGCCTATTAGTAGATAAGTAGATAAAAAAGCTATGGTACATTTATACAATGGAATACAATGTGGCTTTGTGAGTTAAAAGCAATATATTGTATATAATCCTCACCTTCCAGGAACAAACACTCTAAACACAAAGAGGAGAAAACCTGCTCTGGGACCAACCCTTTATTTATTTATTTATTTATTTATTTACTTACTTACTTACTTACTTATTTACTTAGTTACTTACTTACGGGGGGGGGGGGGAAGAGCACTAACATGATGCTCTGCTTCACAGCTCCCCCCCCCCCCCCCCGCCTCAAAAAAAAATCACAGGCACTGAGCTAGCAAGTTACTAGTACATAATGGCTATGAATTCTCTGTGTATCTCGGATCTACACAAGTGTCAGTAAATTCCTCACAGCTCTCTCCAAACCCCACCTGATTTCTACTATCTAGCACAGGGAAAGCTGCCACTTAATCCATTCTTATCCCCATCCCAATCCCTAACTCCCAAAGGCTTTCTCCATTATATAAGAATTAATCAGTTACTACAAGTTACAAACAGACAATTACTAGAGAAAGACAGTATCAAACAATCAAATAGAAACATAGAACTAAATTTCAGGGTCCAATCAAGAAATAATATATAATAACACACTTCTAAGCGATAACCAGCGGTGAATTCTGCATCAGCACATGATTATCTCAATATTTATGAATGCTTTAAAACTGCTTACTGGACACTACATTTTTTTTTTTTTGCTCCATCCATCCATTAATTATATGTTTAAGATGCTATATGAGATCCCATCTACCCTTAACAAGAAGAGCTTTTATCCAAGAGGTTTTATTTTCACAATCTTAAACTATTACTCAATAGTTAATGCTCAAGACCTTACTAAATTATGAAGCTTGAAAGTAAAAGACTTGTGAATTGCTCAAGTACATTTATTTTAATTTGCCATTTTAGTCCATATTTATCAGAATAGTACACATCTCTTATTTATCAATTCTTATTTTTTCATACATTTTATTTTTAGAAATTCGTTTTCAGAAGCATACTAATCTTTGCTCACATGTTACCTTCTATTTAATCTAACAATATTTTCCACATTTATTTCTATAACTCTGGTTCATAGTTATTAAATATCAACATGTGAAAATCAGTTCCTTCAGATACCAGTCTCCATACAAGTTAATTTAAATGTGAAAAAAAAACAAAAAACCCTGGCCAGGTGGGTCAGTTGGCTGGATCATTCATCCAGTCAGGCACATATGGAAGGCAACTGACCAAGGTTTCTCTCTCCCCCTACCGTTCTCTCTTTAAAAAATAAATAAAAACACATTCTTGGGTGAGGATTAAAAAATAAAAAATGGCCGGGACCAGTTTGGCTCAGTGGATAGAGCGTCGGCTTGGGGACTGAAGGGTCCCGGGTTCGATTCCGGTCAAGGGTATGTACCTTGGTTGCGGGCATATCCCCAGTGGGGGGTGTGCAAGAGGCAGCTGATCGATGACTCTCTCTCTTCAATGTTTCTAGCTCTCTATCTCTCTCCCTTCCTCTCTGTACAAAATCAATAAAATATATTAAATAAAAATAAATAAATAAATAAATAAATAAATAAATAAATAAATAAATATAAAAATAAAAAATGTGAACTTGGTCTAAAAAATGGATCTTTGTATAAATTATTTCTTCGTAAAATAATGAAATCTTAGCCATCACAAACCCTCCTGGGTGTAGTAAAGTAAGTTTTCCAGGTAGTTGAAAGATATAATTGTGTTTAACAGTTAAAATCTACAGAAAACAGAAAATAACCTAAATCCAACTGCTTCTAAATTAGTTGTTCTGCCTCCTTAAACAGCACACCTTCAAACAGAGTAACACCATTAACATTTTCTTGATGATACAATTATTACTATGAACATCTACTATTATTATGCACTAACATTTTGACTGTTCATACTGTGCTACAGAAACACACTAGCTGCATTCCCACTACATATGAATATCTATATGCCTTAAAGAACACAGTGGACACACAGATGATAATCAGTCTACAAAATACTGGCATAAAGAGCTGCATGATCAGCCCGATTGGCATGACTCAGTGGTTGAGCGTCAACCTATGAACCAGGAGGTCACGGTTCAATTCACGGTCAGGGTACATGTACTGGTTGTGGACTCGATCCCCAGTAGGGCATGTGCAGGAGGCAGCCGATCAATAATTCTCTTTCATCATTGAGGTTTCTATCTCTCTCTCCCTCTCCTTCCTCTCTGATATCAATAAAAATATTTTTAAAATGTTAAAAAAAAAAAGAGTTGCATGATTAAACGTTAAATATATATATCAAACCTGATATCTCATTTTTTTCTAAGGGATTAAAAAAATTATATAACTTGGAGGGTTGGGTAAACTTTTATCCCCAACAGAAGGCATGTTTGCTCCCATGTGAATTTTTTTGCTAATTCTTTGAGGGCATAAAAATAATACCAGATGCCATAGATGTAACTCGAAAAATTAACTATTATATATAGAGGAATCTGAGTTAGAACTTGTACTAAAATAGTTATGTTAACATATAGAATGTTTTCAACTTAGAAAGCCTCAGCATGGAGATAAGAACATCAAAAAGCCAGCCCTAGCAACTTTTTTCTAGCTTAACCTCTGAGCCTGATAACTGATACAACATAGCTAAGAAAAGAGTAACTGCAAAAGGAAAGGTACCACTAAGATTAAGGAGATGCAATATCTGACGTTAAGCTCCAGTTAAGTTATAGGTCTAGTTACAGAAACATTTTGTTTTAATAATCTAGTCTTCTGAATGTATGGAATGAATATCACCCTTCAGAAATGTTTTTTAAAATCTAAGTTCTTTTTAGGCTTTGACATAAATTATGTCTGCTTATGAGGGGTGATAGTGATGTTGAAACTTGGAATAGTTTAAGCTATTTTTCTTCTTGAAAATCTTTTCTACTACTTCTAGAAAAATATTTAAATAAACCATATTTATATAAAAATTAATTTGTAATAGTGAAACCAAGATATTCCTTCTAAATAGATCAATAAACTAAGCCATATTTGTAAAACTATCTGGAATAGTATTTTTTTTTTTTTTGCGATTAACAGTTTCAATGTCATTATTCTCATAATTCAAATAACAAGAATAGCTTTTATCCAAGAGGTTTTATTTTCACAATCTTAAACTACTACCCAATAGTTATTGCTCAAGACCTTACTAAATTGTAATTGTTTAATTGTAATTATTTAAATATAAATCCCTTGGTAATAAAAGCTTCCTTTCTGTGCTTCTCCAACTGATTAGTATTGCTCTGGTATGTAAGAGTTCTCACTGAAAATTTCTCCACCCATAACTCAAAAGAATACCAAGTAAGAATAAGTAGGTAAAAGAAATATATTCTTTTACCAGTATATTCTTATTGTTAAGGTCACATATTGGTTATAAAGACTGATAGTCTAGTAAAACTCCTATTATTTCAGATTCCTTGAAAAAAGTTTAGTCATTGAAAATAGTGATTCCTCAGGTTACCATTTCATAGAGTTGGTGAAATTTTAGAATATACTAACTAAAAAGCTAGGGAAAGTTCTTCTTATAAACAGGAAAATACTAAAGATAATTTAAAATCCAACCAAATAATACACATAAACATTTAATATGGAGAACTTCAGACTTGAACTGTTTTAAAAGTTTTGAATAGTAAAATGATTTCTCATAGTATACTTTTCTGAAGATGAAAATAAGGAATCACTTTAAATCAATAATCTATATACACACACCTGTATTTTATGTGTGCATCAAATGTGTGTGAAATAAATCAAGTGAAATTGGCAATAAAATACCATATGAAAGTAAGTGGAGGAAAACATACTAAATTTGTATTTGCAACTTTGTTCATATTCACTGACTTACTGAGGAAGAGGCCTAGCAGTTACACAATCACACAGAACTTGACTTAAATTGAGGGCTCACCTCTTACTAATTTTGAGCCCTTGGACAGTTATTTAACGTCTAAAGAAATAGTGTGGATAAAAGGGGCCACATGCTAACCTGACTAGCTTAGGGAAGACCTTTGTGGCACCCTTACAAACTCAAGGGATTTAAAGAGATTTAAAAAAAAAAAAAATTAACAAAAAAGCAGTTTATGGTGGGCAGTCATGTCCTAGGCTGGTATCTTCTCTGATAAAGGCCAATTTTTACCTTAACTGAGCCTGTCTGTTGTCTTTTTGCATCTAGGATAACATCATTGGAATGTCAAAGTAATTTCCCTCAAAGCACAGACACTGCTCTGGAGACTACAAATCCCCTCATTGTTATTGAGTTAATTGTCAAGTGTTAACTTTCCTGCACCCACCTAAATAAAAAAAAAGTATGTGTCTATCTTTTTACTTTCTATCTAACCTCCTTCTGCTTTGCTTTCTCCACCTCCCTAATCTATCACCAACAGATTTCACATAACACACTTACATCTCCTCTTTTGATTGTAATGTATAAAACAAGGTGCAAAACTGCCATTCTCCAGAGCATTATCTCAATCCCTTGAGATTCTGCTTCCTGGCATCTGTTGACAGTTTGGCTCAAATAAACTCACAAAAATTCTTCACAGATTAGAATGTTTCTTACATTAACAATAGTGTCATAGTTACAAATTCATGCTTGAGATTTATAGACTGCATAGGTTCAAATCCTAGCTCCAATACTTATTAACCACATGATCTGGAGGAAAGATTAAGTCTTTTACCCTTCAGTCTCCTGACCTGTAGAAAAGGATATCTACACTTCACAGGACTATTTAATTTAATACACATGAAGTACTTTGAACAGTGCCTAGTACATTATAAGCATCTGATAAATGCCAGCTGCTTTTAATATTAAAAGCTGTTTCCACATTCAATAAATAGAAATAACATCTCAAAAGGCTATTATAGTAAATAGAAACGCACAGAGAACACATCTTAATACATGAAATATATTATTAAGTACTCAATAAGCAGTACCTATTATCACTAGACAACAACACTGATGGTAATGAAATTGATGAAGAGGAGGATAGCAACACCAACAGTCATTCTGGGGCCAATCCACAAAGATAGTAGTCTTCTTTGAGTTGTTCTCTTTTCACCTTCCCAAACAATCACTCAGTTCCATATCATTGAAAGCTATCTCATTTTCTACATCCTCACTGTCACTGGCATAAAATCCCCCAAGCATGCTCCACAGACCAATGCCACAACAACCTATTAGCTGATCTGCATTGTCCCATTTCAATCCATTCCTCATACTCCAAGCTGAGTTTATTTGATCATGTGACTCTCCACTACAGCATATTCAATCATCCCACAGCCTTTGGAATGTTCAAATTTCTGATTGTGAATTAAAGTCTTGCAGAATTTGTCCCTTTCTACCTCCCTCAGCTAATCTTTTTCCACTCACTCACTTTGCAATCTAAGCTAAGATGTAAAACTCTCATCTATCTGTGGTTTCCCAAATACATGCTCGGTCAACTCTGTGCCTTCTTGTAGCCTAGAACACTTCCTTCTCGCCTTCCTTACTCCCATTCTGACCACTTACTGGTTCTCTGTAATCCAACTCCCAGGGCATCTCCTCCATTCCCTGATATCCTGTCCCATCCCACTCCCATGTTTTCCCCTTCCAGCAGAATGAACTTGAGGATTAGTATTGTAAAAGTGTTTTTAACATTTAAAACCCAAGTAGCATACTCTTCAGTTCTAACAGCTAGATCAATTTATAACTATAGGTTAATTTTTAAAAATTAATCAGGTTCTTTATTGAATAAGTATTAACTGTTTAAGCATCATCAATTAGATATAACATTATATTTGACCCTTACTGGTCATATTCAGTTCTAACAGCTAGAACTTAAGGTTTGGGCCAAAAATATTACTTTTAATTCCAGATTTCATGGTTCTAGGAGTTCACCTTTTCATCAAGAATTTAAAAGTAAAATTAAAAGCAAAATTTAAATGAAAATACTATTTAAAAGTAAATATTTAGCCATTTTCAAACGTGAAAACAAGATTCTTTGTTTTTTCCCATCTAGATTTTAAAACAAAACTGATACAAAATAAATTTCAAAGAGCATTACAGTTCCATTGTGGAACTGGGATATATTCTTCTGCCTTACCTTAACTGTATTTTTTTACTTACTGCTTTTCAAGAAAGGGTAACTTCATTTAGTTACCAAAGCTTTTCAATAAAACTTAGGAATAAATGACTCCCCCATGTGGAGATGAGCTTACATAGACTTTCTCTCACAAGCTTGGCAAGTCATTTAGCTTCAATATGATTATAAATTTTGAAGATGAACATAACTATAACTTCATATCTATAAACGTAAATAAAAGGCTGACCCTAAAGTGACACAAAGGTTCATGATGGAAATGTATGTTAAAGAATTATTCCTATAAAGAACTTGATTTGAAAATTTTATTTGTAAACTGAATACTTTAACAATTTTAAAGTGAGTGGTCAAAATAAGCTATAGGTATCTTTCTAAAGATTTTTAATATTTAAAAATCATTCAGGTTGTTTATTGAATAAGCATTAAGTGCTTAAGTATCAACAATTAGATATAAAATTACATTTGACTCTTATTTGGTAATATTAGAAAGCAGAGGCTAAATTTATTGTGAGAAATGTTTATATTCCAAAATTGAAAGCTAAGAATTTACATATTAATGATTGAGATCCTGCTTTTAACTCTATTACCAAAATAACTATTGAAAAGTTTAACCTGTAATCAACCAATTAGTTAATATAGTTAAATAAAAATGTACTAAACTCAGAAACAAAAGTTTCAAGCTCCTTAATATTACAATAGTATTCCAACCTCAGAGTAGAATCAAGATGATGAGTATACCTTCAGTGTGAGTATGTTCTCATCAGCTATTATTTTTTCAATGTCTCCCTTCTTTCTAGATTTCCATTAAAAAACACAAATGTAGCCGAAACCGATTTGGCTCAGCGGTAGAGCGTCAGTCTGTGGACTGAAAGGTCCCAGGTTTGATTCCGGTCAAGGGCATGTACCTTGGTTGTGGGCACATCCCAGGTAGGGGTTGTGTAAGAGGCAGCTGGTCGATGTTTCTCTCTCATCGACGTTTCTGGCTCTCTATCTCTCTCTCTGTAAGAAAAATCAATAAAACATATTTTTTTTAAAAAACACCACACAAATGTGTAAGAATTAATAATATATGAATCTAAAAATCTACACAAAAATCAGTAATAGTGGGTGGAAAGTTATACTTATTATGAGAAATAAGTATAAATATAGCTATCATGCATTTGTTAGTGGGTCTTTCTACTTTGTTGTATAAAATATATCTGAGAGGAGAGACAAATACACTCATCATCAGATATGATATTCATATGTAGGAATGTTTGAGTTTCATGAAAAGCAATCACTTGATTATAATAAACATTCTATGACTTCATTACCCATAATTGAGAGCATGTCTCCATTATAAAATAAAGCAACAAATTTACTACAAGGTGGACAATCTAATAATTAGAAGAATTTTTAAAAATACATTTTCATTCACTAGCAAGTTCATATAGATTTTAAAAACTAATTTAAGCACTTTACTATTTTAAGTTTCTAGAGCTTCATATGACTCATTATATTAAAAGTCAAGCAAGCTCCTCCTCAACATGATTAATTTTGCAAATGGTATGAAGAACATCAGACTTCAAACTAGGAGACAGGAGACCTGGGGTTTGGCCCCAGCTTTAGGCTTCAGTGTCCTCATATGTAAAATGAGAGGGTAAATAAAAAAATTTAAGTACAGATATAGAAAACTCAGCTCCTGATTTTCCAAAATTAAACTTCATAGGTTTTTTTTTTTTTTATATTAGCAGTATTTAAGTTTCAAAAAGAAAAATTATATAGCATAATATAAGTCTCCAATTTCCTGTGTATCTCTGAAACTTTTAAGCCTTATTTTTAACAGAAAACTATCCAATAAACAACTAACTTTTATAATGTGCTTTTAGGTTTACAAAATGTTAGTAACAATTCTCTGTGGGAAGTAATATTTTTCCGATTTTACAGAATGGAAAACTGAGGCTCAGAGTTTAGCTAAAACATGGTCAAGTCTATTGGTTTAAAAAACAAATCAGCAGAAACCAGTTTGGCTCAGTGGTAGAGCGTCGGTCTGCGGACTGAATGGTCCCAGGTTTGATTCTGGTCAGGGGCATGTACGTTGGTTGTGGGCACAACCCCAGTAGAGGGTGTGCAAGAGGCAGCTGGTCGATGTTTCTCTCTCATGGATGTTTCTAGCTCTCTAACTCTCTCCCTTCCTCTCTGTAAAAAATCAATAAAATATATTTAAAAATAAATAAGTAAATAAATAAATAAATAAATAAATAAATAAACAAACAAAAAAAATCAATATTTTACTAAATTGCTAGTCTACAAAATGGTTTGATAAACATTTTTATAGGTAGATGATTCTAAAGCTTTCTTAGAATTGTAACTCAACTACAGGAAAGGAAAAAGATTTTAGTCTTCTTTAACCATAAGTTTGATTAAAATATTATTCTTTTATGTTATTAACTCTAACGTAAAATTTTTTTTAACTAGTACCAGGAAACTTTACAATAATTAGCCAGGAGACTTTAGAATATCAGGACCAAGTTACAAACAGTGGCTAAAGTAAAAATTCAAATACCTACTTTGTTATTTTGTGTCACCAGAATACTTCCACCCCCAGGTTTCAAAGGCACCTCTTCCATTGCTCCAAATACATCAGTCTCAACAGAAAAAGTCAGCTCTAGACCCAGATCACTAATATCATTATCTAAAATCCACTGCAAATTCTTGGCATATTCTGGATCAATAGATGCCACATCTTGGTAATTTACAGGAATTCCTAAAAATATAAAAATACAGCAGTTATATTCTACATGTTTCTGCCTTTCCTTATCTGTTTAATGGTAAAATACTGCCCTCTACAGATACTATGTAAAACTGCAAAATATAATCAAATTCAAGCAAGGGTAATTTAAATGGACGTTAATTCTTGAATTTGAAGCTTAATTTAAGCTTAGTTTCTTCCACATTTTTACAATGTAATCTTTCTTTAAAAGCTCCATTCAGGAAATTATTATAAACTTCAAAAAGTGCCAATTCTCTTAAGTATGTTCATGTCAAAATACATTCTTAGCATAAATATACATACACTAACAAAACTGTAGATGATTTTTTCCTTTCCCTCAGGCCCTCATTTAAATGCCTTACAAACACAAATAGTCTTTAATCAAAATAAAAATGTTCTCATTCAAAATGCCATCACTTATCATTATATTTACTTAAAGACTATAGGAAAAACACTTTAAATAAATAAATTAGAGGGGGTCAACTGGGGGGGAAAAAGACAAATGTAAAACTTTAGACAATAAAAAAATAAAAATAAAATACACTAGAGCCATACCAAGAATGTGCTTATAGAATGATCTTGTGAAGTAAATGTTGACCAGCTGCCTATGGTTCAAAGCTAATCCCAAGATCTGTCCAGCAAAACGGAAATAGTTCAGGTGGTCAGGATTTACATAGGAGTTGCTATTAGGCTGAAAAGTTGTTCCTATTAAAATAAATACAAAATAATTTGTATTAAATAATCTATATGCAAAAGAGACATCATTTTAATACAGATAAATTTGTTCATATAAAACTTCAGCAAAACTAAAGTTATGTATTAATTTCCACAGAATGTTCTTTGTGGAATATATAACAGACAGTGAAACTAGAAGTACAAAAGACATTAAGTCATGTGTCAGAGAGATCCTGGAAATAATATATTAAAAGATCACACACACACACACGGATCCCTGGACAGTGTGGATAAATAACTATTAGGCTATGAATTAAGGCAGACATTGTCTCATTCAGGTCCAGTGCAGTAGATGAAAATAAGAACACAGCACTATACGAAAATAACTAAAAAACTTTAAAAACTATTTTTAATAGAACTACTAATCAGTGAACTTGATGCTTTTTTTTTTAAATAAGTTTTTATTGTTCATATTATCACAAATGTTCCATTTTTCCCCCCACCATTGCTCTCCTCCACCAGGTTCCCACCCCACCCTCTGCCCTTTCCCCACTCCCCATTGTCCTCATCCATAGGTGCACAGTTTATGTTCAGTCTCTTCCCACGTCCCCCTCTCCCCTTTTCCCCAAGAAGCGTCAGTTCACTCCCCTTCCATACCTCTGATTCTATTATATTCAACAGTTACTATTGTTCCTCAGATTTTTTTTTAATTTCCTTGGTTTTTAGATTCACTTGTTGATAGTTACGTATTTGTTGTTCATAATTTTTATCTTTGTTTACTTTCTCTTCTGAAAGAACCCCCTTCAGCAATTCATATAATTCTGGTTTGGTGTTGATGAACTCCTTTAGCTTTTTTTTATTAGTGAAGCTCTTTATCTGACCTTCGATTCTGAGTGATAGCTTTGTTGGATAGATTATCTTTGGCTGTAGGTTCTTACTATTCATCACCTTGTATATTTCTTGCCATTCCCGTCTGGCCTGCATGGTTTCTGTTGAGAAGTCAGCTGACAATCGTATAGGTGCTCCTTTATAGGTAACTTCCTTCTTTGCTCTTGCTGCTTTTAATATTCTCTCTTTGTCTTTTGCTCTTGGAATTTTAATTATGATTTGTCTTGGTGTGATCCTCTTTGGATTCCTTTTGTTTGGAGTTCTGTGTGCTTCCTAAACTTGTAAGTCTAATTCTTTCACCAGGTGGGGGAAGTTTTCTGTCACTATTACTTTCAGTATGTTTTCGATATCTTGCTCTCTCTCATCTTCTGGGACCCCATAATTCTGATGTTGGTTCGCTTGAAGTTGTCCCAGAGATTTCTTACATTATCTTCAATTTTCTGGATTCTCTTGCCTTCTAGCTTCTGTGGAGGAGTGTCTTCTGGCTCTTTATATTCCAAATCTTTGACTTGATTCTTGCGATCTTCCCTTCTGTTTTTAGGACTCTGTATAATATTTTTTATTTCAGACAATGTATTCTTCATTTCTTGTTGATCCCTTATCATTTCTTGTTGATCCCTTATCATATCTAGATGACTCCTTATTAATTCTAGTTGATCTCTTTTCATATCCTCATAGGTCTTATCCATCTTTTCTAGGAAATTCTTGAAAAACCTTATAAGCATAGATTTGAACTCTATATCCAGCCGCTTTTTGTCCTCCATTTCTTTTGTTTGTGATCTATTTGGTTGTTGCATTTCGCAGCTACAGATGGGGCGGGGTTTCAGGGTGGAGCCTGCAGCCTTGGCTTCCGTCAGCCCCGCCCTATGCGGGTCCTGAGTCTCAGGGTCCTTCAGTACTCATTGCAAGGGTCTCTGAGAGAAAGGTGCCCTCGATTTTCGCCTGCTGCCAAACAGTCTAGTCTCTCCCCCAATGAGCCCGGTATTGGGGTTCAGTTCAGTTGGAAGTGGAGTTGGAGGTGGCGTTCAGAGCAGTCTGGCGCTCCTGTCTCCTTCCCGCCAGGCAATCCCGCGGCACAGCCGGCCGTCCCTTCTCTGCGCGCCGCCGCCACCACTGGGACGTCCCCCCCTTTTGCCGCTTCCCCGGGTTCCGCCTTACAGCCTGGCTCCCTATGGCTGAGCCTGGATCCCCGGGGTCTGGCCTAGGCTTGGGTTCAGAGCAGTCAGAATGGGGCCCTACACAGTTGGAGAGTTTATCTCCTTCCGGCTAGGGAACGCCCACCAGGCACTCAGCTGCCCTCCTCTCCGGCTCCGTCCTCTCCGGCTCCGTCCTCTCCGCGCGCCGCGTCTCCATACCTTGGGCTTTTCCAGCTCCTCTGCGCTTCCTTATGGTTTTCTCCTTGCTTCTCGTTGTAGAATTTCCAGGCAGTCAACTTTCAAAATATAGTTCTGGGTAATGTCAGTTTTATATTTTAATTGTATTTTATTGAAATTGTAGTTCTGGGTAATGTCAGTTTTATATTTTAGTTGTATTTTATTGAAATTGTTGTGTGCGGCTGCAGCTAGGTATTCACCTGGGCGCAGCCATCTTGGATCCTCTGAACTTGATGCTTTTTAACAATTCTCAGGAAATCACCAAAAGTCCCCAAGTCAACCAATTCATCCTCAAGGCAAATATTGTTAAATAAGTATCTCTGAGGTATAAAAGTAAAAATGGCAAGGGCAATAGTTACCCATTGCTGTCAAAATCTAAAGCAATGGAGTATATGACTCCACTTACCTGAAAAAGATCTGGAAATAAGACAGTGGTGACAGTTACACCACAATTATGAGTGCACATAGTGCCACTGAATTGTAACACTTCAAAATTATTAAAATGGTAAATTTTGTCACGATAAAAAATGCCTCAAAAGTATCTAGTGCAATGAAAAAAAAATTAATACCAAGACCTCAATTTTAAGTAACCCTTTTCCACTGTTTTCCTGTGATAATCACTAACTTGGATTACAAATTCTCTTATCATTCAATAAATATTTATTGAGCTTGTGGTTTCTAAAATAAAGAATAATTGATAAGAATAATGAAACTGAATCAAAAGAAAATAAAGGAACAATGAAAAAGTTTGGTCATTTAGAATACGTACCTTGGCAATAATTCCCTTTGTGTTTTGTTGATCTTTGATATTCAGAGTTGGCATTGGACTAATAAATTGCCGCGACCAATTTACTGAGCTATAAGGTACAAATATGGAAGCTTATGGCTGAATGAATTAAAAGAGCTAATCATTCACTATTAAGTACCTTTAGAGAATCATAATGTAGGACTGGGTATTAAAAGGCAAAGCAAAGATGGCAGCATAGGTAAATACCTATACTCGCTGCCTCTCACAACCACATCAAAATTAAACTAAAAGGCAGAACAACTACCACCTAGAACCATGGGAAAGCTGGCTGAGTGGAAGTTCCATAACTAGCGAGGTGATGAAAGCATATCAGACTGGTAAGAGGTGTGGAGGCACAGAAAGTGCTGGCACCTGGATGTGCTGCTCTTTTAATCAGGAGGAACATACAAGATCCACTTGCTCTGAACTCCAGTTCTGGGTGAGACTCCGGGGGACCCAGACTATGTTTGTTATAACCAATAAATTTTGAGACTTGGAAAATTAAATAGCGTTAGCAAATTTTAATTTTTCCAAATAAGGACTTGTATTATTTCCACATCCATCTACTATAACTATTTCACTAGTTATAGTAGATGGATGAAATTTTAACTCAAGAAAAGCAGACTAAACGACAATCCTTAAAGTGAATAAATTTAGTTTTAGTTTACAAAGAGCTAATGAAGTTTCTTGGGGCCAGCACCAGTACTTAAGCACTGGAGAATCAACAGTTTAGAGAAAAGACTGATAGAACTGAGTCAGTTTCCATTCATTAACTGTGCTAACATAGACAAAACTCTGAATTGTGGTTTTCTTTTCTATGAAATGGGAATATCCCACCTATATTATAGGGCTACTACAGGAATAAAAGAATGAAATACACGAAGTAGTTTGAAATGTGACAAGTCACAGAAAAAGTCATGGAGGCTGTACGACTTACCATCAGCTGACTGGGTAAACAATGCATAATCAGGATTGACTATTTCATTAGACAGAATATCAAACCATTCACGCACAACACCTTGACCCTGAGTTAAAGAAAATAAAATTAAGTATCAACAGAAATATATAAGATGGGAAAAATTTTTATAAATAATAAAATTAAAAGGACTCTAAATGTCTTCAATTACCAATTAAATATTAAATTTTATTCAAGTGTATTTTAATCTTTTATATACATTGATCTTCACCACTTAGGTTTATACCCACCATGCCTTCTTCTCCATGGAACCGTACAGCAATTCCTTGCTTTAGCTTTGCACAATTTGCTTTTGAGACGACTTCACAGCTACTCCTAAAAATGGAATCTAAATATGCAGCACTGGTTAATTGTACATATTAAAATTTACAATAGCTAGTGTTTGGAGCCTCACATGCACAGCATTTCTTTTGTAAGCATACCTCTGTGAACCAGCAGGATGTCATTCTCACTCACTGGCCTATGCACCATGTCTGAATCTGCTTGTCCTGAGTGCAAATGTTCATAAAACCATTCACAGCGATCTTTAAATGGCTGCCCCAATAAATAACAGTAAAATATATTAGTGTTTCAGTCACCTATTAAATTTACTTAATTAACATGCTAAATACCCTTTCTACAACTAATTATCCTTATTCCTTTATTTATACCAAGTAGTTCTAGATAATGTCCTGACATTTCAACAACTATTTACAAAAAGGCATAGCATGGCTGACATACTTAGACTATCTAAAAAATGTATTTATTAAAATTCCTTGCATTTTTGCCCAGCTGGTGTGGCTCCATGGTTGAGCTTGAACCTATGAACCGGAGATCATGGTTCAATTCCCAGTCAGGGCACTTGCTCAAGATTGTAGGCTCCGTACCCAGGAGGGGATGTGCAGGAGGTAGCCAATGGATGATTCTCTCTCATCATTGATGTTTCTATCTCTCTCTCCCTTTCCCTTCCTCTCTGAAATTAATAAAAATATATTTTAAAATAAATAAAAATAAAATGTCTTGCAATTCAACAGCAAAGACTTGACAAATTAGGTTATATCTAAGAACTTAAATTTACTCTCATTTTCTTTTAAACCCAAAAAGGCTTATACAAAATGAATTTTCACATCCAGAAAAAGTATGTCACATGTTCCATTTAATTTTTCATGAAAATAATCTTTTACATCCAACTTTATCCTTATTTTTAACCTCTGAATACATGCAGCAACCAAAAAAGAATTTGTAACTTTTTTTCTTTCTTCCTTCCATTCCTCCACCCTAAAAATTAAAGAATACGACCTCTTCAACAGTAAAGAAAGTCTCTACCTTTTGTTCATTTGCCAGATATGCAACTGCATGTTATTTGTAATTTTTTTATGATTACTCAAAGTATTGGTGAATGGCCAGCATATGCCAACACTGCAGGTAACATAAGAGATATACAAATCTCAAATTCTTTGTTAAAATTTTTAATATAGTTAAAGAGATGAAACTAGCATTAAAACAATACATAAGTTCTAAATAGGGAAGTACAATAAAATAGAGTGCATTAAGAATGTAAAGAAATTAAGAATCCTCTCAGAACTTTAGTTTTCCCACTTGTAAAGTAGGGGAAATAATACCTTAAGTGATAATTGTGAGGATTAAGTGAAATAATGCATATATAAGGCATAATAGTAACTATAATAATAAATTAGCTAACATTTATTAAAGTATCTATAAGTTTTAAGCACTTTATATGCATTTTGGCATGTATTCCTCACAATACTATGAGGCAAAGGGACTCTTACTGTCCTTATTTTACAAAAGAAAAAATGCAGCATCCAGAGGTTAACTTGTAGAAATACTTAATACCCAAAATGCTCAATGAGAGGTGTTGTTCTTATTATCACTCATAACAATGTTAAAATTATTGTTAATAAGATTTAAAATTATGTTAAAATGGCCTTGCCATTATAAGATATTAAATATTAAACTATATCTTTTATCTATAAAATGTGAACCAAAAAATAAAAGCAAATGACAATTTTTAAAGTAGTTCAAATGGAATGTAAAAAATACAAAATTCTACCTTTAAAAGCTAATAAGATATTTGTAAGATCAAAGCATCCACATACATATACAATACCTAGAAAGCTGACAGAATCCAAGATGGCTGCCCAGGTAAACACCTAGCCGCAGCCGCACACAACAATTTCAATATAAAATGGACATTACCCAGAACTACAGGAAAGTTGACTGACTGGAAATTCTACAACGAGAAGCAAGGAGAAAACCAGAAGGAAGCGCGGAAGAGCTGTAAAAGCCTAAGGTACGGAGACATGCAGCACTCGGAGAGGAAGGAGCCGGAAAGGAGGGGCGGCTGAGTGTCTGGTTGGCATTCCCTAACGGGAAGGAGATAAAAGCTCCGACTGTGCTGGGCCCCAGTTCTGACTGCTCTGAACCCCAGTTCTAGGCCAGACCTCGGGGACCCAGGCTCAACCATAGGGAGCTGGAACTGAACCCCAATACCGGGCTCATTGGGGGAAAGCCTAGACTGTTTGGTAGCAGGCGAAAATCGAGGGCACCTTTCTCTCAGAGACCCTTGCAATGAGTACTGAAGGACCCTGAGACTCAGGAGCCGCATAGGGTGAGGCTGACGGAAGCCAAGGCTGTAGGCTCCACCCTGAAACCCTGCCCCATCTGTAGCTGCGAAATGCGACAACAAAATAGATCATAAACGAAAGAAATGGAGGACAAAAAGTGACTAGATATAGAGTTCAAATCTATGCTTATAAGGTTTTTCAAGAATTTCCTAGAAAAGATCGATAAGACCTATGAGGATATGAAAAGAAATCAACTAGAATTAATAAGGAATCAACAAGAAATGATAAGGGATCAACAAGAAATAAAGAATACATTGTCTGAAGTGCTCAAAAAATATTATACAGAGTCCTAAAAACAGAATGGAAGATCGCAAGAATCAAGTCAAAGATTTGGAACATAAAGAGCCAGAAGACACTCCTCCACAGAAGCTAGAAGGCAAGAGAATCCAGAAAATTAAAGATAATGTAAGAAACCTCTGGGACAACTTCAAGCGAACCAACATCAGAATTATGGGGGTCCCAGAAGATGAGAGAGAGCAAGATATCGAAAACATACTGAAAGAAATAGTGACAGAAAACTTCTTCCACCTGGTGAAAGAATTAGACTTACAAGTCCAGGAAGCGCACAGAACTCCAAACAAAAGGAATCCAAAGAGGACCACACCAAGACACATCATAATTAAAATCCCAAGAGCAAAAGACAAAGAGAGAATATTAAAAGCAGCAAGAGCAAAGAAGGTAGTTACCTATAAAGGAGCACCTATACGATTGTCAGCTGATTTCTCAACAGAAACCATGCAGGCCAGAAGGGAATGGCAAGAAATATTCAAGGTGATGAATAGTAAGAACCTACAGCCAAAGATATCTATCCAACAAAGCTATCACTCAGAATCGAAGGTCAGATAAAGAGCTTCACTAATAAAAAAAAACTAAAGGAGTTCATCAGCACCAAACTAAAATTATATGAATTGCTGAAGGGGGTTCTTTCCGAAGAGAAAGTAAATAAAGATAAAAAATTATGAACAACAAATACGTAACTATCAACAAGTGAATCTAAAAACCAAGGAAATTTTTTTTAAAAATCTGATGAACAATATTAACTGTTGAATATAAGAGAATCAGAGGTATGGAAGGGAAGTGAACTGACAATTCTTGGGGAAAAGGGGAGAGGGGGATGTGGGAAGAGACTGAATATAAACTGTGCACCTATGGATGAGGACAATGGGGAGTGGGGAAAGGGCAGAGGGTGGGGTGGGAACCTGGTGGAGGAGAGCAATGGTGGGGGGGGAAGGGGGAAGAAAGGAACATTTGTGATAATATGAACAATAAAAATTTATTTAAAAAAAATACCTACAAAGCCAAAGGGCAGATTTTTGTATATAAACTTTCTCAGTACCTGCATTTCCATAAAATAATTCACAAAACGGGACTGAGAGTTTCCTCTTATTAGCATTTGTACAGCAATACAAAATGTTTCTCCCTTTAACTACAAGCCACCTGAAAACCACCAAACAGCAAGAAGCCAATCCCTTAGCAGAGATTGTTTTTGTTTTTAACTGTTTTTTGGAACTGCCTCCAAGTCACAGAAAATTTCTAAGTATAGTAGAATACTACAAAGTATTTCTTTTTCCTGATGTGAGAGTAAGATGTCAACAGGATGTCCAGTCAAGTCTAAAAACTTCAGTGTGCATTTCCCACAAAAAGACAATTCTTCTACGTACCGGAAAACTGTCAAAATCAGAAAATTAATAGCCACATTACTATAGTATATCTAATCCTTAGACCTAATTCAAGTTTTGTCCTTTTCCTAATAATGTCATTTATAGAGCAATACCTCAAGTATTTTATTTAGTTGTCATGTCTCATTCTGGTAGAGTTTTTCATTGTTTTCTTAATTTTCATGACCTCAATACTTTTAAAGATTGCAGGCCACTTATTTTGTTGTTATGTCTGATGTTTTCTCACGATTAAATTCAGGGAGTGCATCTTTGGCAGGAACATTAAAGAGTGATGCCATGTTCTTCTCTGTGCGCCAAGTCAGCTGGCTCACTGATAGTTCTGCTTTGGTCACTGCCAAATATGCCTACGGTCAAGTTTTTTTGTTTGTTTATTTTTATTTTAATCCTCATCTGAGGATATGTTTATTAGCTTTAGGGAGATAGATACAGAGAGTCAGACAGACAGAGACAGAGACATCGATTAGCTGACTCCCATATTCACTCCAACTAGAGATCAAACCTGCAACTTAGGTATGTGTCCTGACCGGGAACTGAATCCACAACCTTTTGGTGTACAGGATGACACTCCAACCAACTGAGCCATCCAGCCAAAGTGGTAAAGGCTTTTTTTTAAATCTTTGTAATCTGTAAGTATTCTATAGGGACATACTTTGAAACAGTAAAAATATCCCTCACATCATCAAACTTGCCATGTATTCATTAATTTTTTCAATACAGACTCATGAATTGGTTGTATTTATAATATTTTGTCATCATTATTTATTTTGATGCCCAAATTGTTCCAGATTTGGCCAGCAGAATACATTCAAGCTGGTCCTGAGTCATTTTAAATTCTGAGTCATTATAATTCTTTAAAAATTTTTCTTGCACATAAGATGTTCCATGCTCATCTGTACTTTCACTGACCCAGCCCTGGAATTTGCCATTTTTCCAATGAGTCTTGATTCATTAAGAACAGTATTTAGAGACCAATAACTGGATGGTAGATTAGCTATATCTATCTATCTATATTACATTAGCCGAAACCAGTTTGGCTCAGTGAATAGAGTGTCGGCCTGTGGACTAAAGGGTCCCGGGTTCAATTCCGGTCAAGGGCATGTACCTTGGTTGCGGGCACATCTCTAGTAGGGGGTTTGCAGGAGGCAGCTGATCAATGTTTCTCTCTCATTGATGTTTCTGGCTCTCTATCCTTCTCTTCCTCTCTGTAAAAAGTCAATAACATATATATATATATTTTTTTTTTTTTTAATTATAAGCTCACACTGCCATTTCCAATTCCATTCCAAAGACACATGGTTCACTCCATTTTCCTGTTTTGTAACTCCTTTCTCCAACAATGAGAAACAAAGCTCCCAATATATTCACTATACTTATTTGAGCAACCTGTATGTAGCTTACATGAACTGTTTGTTCACTGCATGCATGTCCTGCACCCCATTTGGGCTTTGTCAAACTATTCTGAGCCGCTGTCACCACCCTCCACACTGAACATTCTCCATATGCCAATGCAACTCGCTGAGGCCCTCTTCTACACAGACACCCTCCTTACCCACCCAAGCTCCACCATAAGAGGAACACCACAATGTTTGAGGGCACCTTCCTCACTCTGGTCAGGAAACAAAATACTACTACTCTGTGGGTCCAAGAGGTGGATAAGGCAGATAGCTGATGCAGATGCTTTTTTACTGAATTGCTCAGAAAGGGATGGATAAAGGAAGTGAAAATCAAAGACAATATTAAAAAATAGCAAACTACATCTTTTAAAAACTAAGTTTCTTCCACCCATAATCTCATTTGCCCTAGAATGGAATCACACAATATAGGTTAAGAAAATGAACTTAAGAACCAGACAGATTTTTAAATTCTGGTTCTCCCATTAAGTGCTGAATAACTTCACGTACTTAACCTCTTTAGCTTAGTTAAAAGAACCTATCTCACATGATAATTATAAAAATAAAATAACCCATGTAAAAAAATGTATGGTACCTGGCCTGAAGTTAGCATTAATAATAAATGTAAGTTATTATTACTACCTTCCCTTTTACATTACCATTATTAAACAGATGTCAAAGGATACGGATAGACATTTGCATAATTTTATAAGATTTAGTTCTTAGCTTTATTTAACTTCTGAAAGAATCCGTGTCCCTGAAGACATTTAAACACACCTGTAGTACTTATCCTATGACTACTAACCAAACTACAACCTGCAGTTTATCCTACATTTCTAACAAAGTGTTTCCTAAAATTTTGCCAGGGTCATGTCATTCTCCTAAGGCAAAGCTATCACAGGCTTCTGCCACCCTAGCAAACAAAGGTTCTTTAATAAAGCAGTCAAGATTAAACAAAGGATGACCTAAATCTGCCTTTCCAGAATTACATCTCATTTCTCACCTATACAAAATTTCTGCTTCAACCACCTACTGTCCACATACTAACTAGAATGTTCGCCTTCCCCATTTATTCTCTTCAAATTTTGCATGTTTTTCAAGGTCTAGTTTGAAAACCATATCCTCTTTGAACTTTCCCTGGATTATAGCAGCCAGAAGCAAATGCTTCATCCCTTAAATGCCTGAAGTACCAGGTTAATACTATAATTACTATCTTATAGGTACATCTCCTCTGCTAGTCTGAATTAAGATCCTCTAGGACAGTGGTTGGCAAACTCATTAGTCAACAGAGCCAAATATTAACAGTACAACAATTGAAATTTCTTTTGAGAGCCAAATTTTTTAAACTTAAACTTCTTCTAATGCCACTTCTTCAAAATAGACTCGCCTGCGTTGTGGTATTTTGTGGAAGAGCCACACTCAAGGGGCCAAAGAGCCGCATTAGGCTCGCGAGCCGCAGTTTGCCGACATGGCTCTAGGAGAAAGGATACACGTCTTCTACCTCCAAAACAACTACCATTAAGTGAACATATATGCCAGTCACTATTTAATACTCTTAATAGTTTGATGAGGTTTACTCTATTTTACAGATGAAGAACCAAAACTCAAAGAAGCTGGAACTGCGACCAAAGTCACATAACTGTTAAGTAGTAAGACAAGCTTCTTCTAACATACTACATGAAACATGAGCTATGTGGAATGAACCCTGTCAGGGGAAAGGTTCTCAGGCCAAATAAATTTGGAGAATTAACAGTTAGATCACTCTTTTAAGTGGAGGGCTTCTCACAGCCTTTAACGTAATGCTGATAAACTTCATAAATCTCCAACAGGGCGTATTTCCCAAAGGTATTTGGGGATAAAATCTTTTTCTCAAGGACCATGAGCTTTATAGGGCTAGTGTTCCATGAAGATCATTTCAGGAAATGTAGAAACATGTTCTGCTATCTTGGAACAGCCACTGTACATAGGACCTCAATACACATTTCTTGAAGAAAAATTACTTTTCATATTAAACAAACATACTAACATAACTTCATATATTAAAGAATAAGGTAATTATACTCCTTAATAGTAGGAGGTCACATGTATAATAATTACTTCACTAAGCAGTACTCAAATTTAGAAAGTCAATTTTCATTAAACAGACTAAAAACAAGATTAAGAGAAATTTATACCTGTGCTTTTATGATATGCATAAATCTTGACATCAACTCAGGACATTCAAGGAGGAAGTGAAAGTGATCAAATATAATTTTGGGATTTCTGAAAGAAAAATACATTTTGTTTATATGAACAGAAACAATGACCAGCATTAAGTGAAATGCAGATTTAGATAGATGGATACTGCAACAGAAGGGTAATATACCGACAATACTTTTACTTGTCACAGAACATTATTTTAATAGTTTAACGAAAGTAACATTTTTCTGTTGAGATGAAAACATACGTAAAGAAAGAAAAGGCTACAAGGGCAGCCCATGAATCCAAGAAAGCCTTACCTGTTAACAAAGCATTTTAAGACTTCATCGTGTTTGCAGACAAATTCGATGAAACGAGGTGAGGTCATTCTGTGGGGAATAAAAAAACAAGTCAGAACACAGACAAAAGCTAATGATATAGAAAATTTGAAAACTATGTATTGAACTGAACTGGCTTCTAGACAAAAATTCGGTTTGGATTGTCTTAACAAATTTAAGAAATTGAGGCATGTCTACCCAATCTATAATATAAAATGAAAAAATATAAAATTTTCATTAGCATATAAACAAGTGACCTTTTTAAAACCTTGAAATGTTATAAGCAACTCTGGTCTATACATTTCCAATATATAATAAAGTGATCCTATACAAAGTGGCATTCAGATTTCCTCATGCTAATAACTTACAAAATGCCTATCAAATAATTCTAGATCAGTATGAATATCCTAAAACTAGATCAGAACGTAAAATCAACAAATTCCCAGCTGTTTTTACTGAAATTACAAAAAATAAAATAAAAAAATCTATCAGAGAAACAATAAGCATGCCATGTAAGCCTTGACAGTTGGGTTTCCCGTTTTGTAATGCAGGCGCCTGACTTAAGTTTTGGTTGCCAAGGCTTCCGCTTCAAAGAGGCATACACTTCAAAGATGGCTATCTTTAATAAACACATTGCCAGCCACCCAACTAGATAAGAGCCAGGCCACCTCCCCCCATTGAGGCTCCTTTGTTTTAGAGATCTTGGTTGACTTGAATAACTGACCATTTAGGCCACTTGTTTTCTTTCTCTTCCCACACTTTAAATTCCCACTCTTATGTTTTAAGTTCATCAATAAAGACTGAGCACCAGAAAACCCCCACCTCCGACCCCCCAAAAAGCAGAACACCAGGGCCATTCCCATTCCGCTTGTGCGCTAGCTCTCTAGTGGGCCACGCTCTGGCTCTCGCTCTCTCCCTGTGACCTCGCTGTGTGGCCCCAGGTGTGCCATGTAATTTCCAGACCTTGTAAGTAATAAACCTTTTTTTTCCCCCCCAAAGTTTCCTGATGGTTATTGCTGAAGGGCGCCTTGCAATCATAATAAGAACCACAAGGGCTGGTCCAGCCACCAGATTGGTTATTGATAGGCTGAGACCTGCACAAAAAACAAAGCAGAAACCCTCTTACCCTGGAGGCATCTGACAAGAACAGCACATGTAAAAAGCTTGAATGACAGCACTTAGCCGGTTAGCTGTCATAGAAATAACATCCTGACAGTCTGCTCCGGCTTCCTGTTTCCCTCCTAGAGCATCTGGTTTAGATTCCCTGGTGCCAGTGGATAGATTTTCATAGCTCCCAGGTCCTGGAGGTTCAAATGGAGGAATGGAAGTACCATCTTGATCTTGGCCTTTTTGTTTTAGTAAAATAGAAGTGATATCCGTTGAGTTCTTTTTGTTTTTCATCAGTTCTGTAGCTATTAAAACTAGCCATTCATCTAATGAGTGCCAAAGCAATTCAAGAGGCTACAAGAAAAAGAAAAGTTTTTATTAAAAAAAAATAGCATTCTGAAACTCCAGCCAAACAAATATTATAAAAGAAAAAATTTACTCTAGATAGTATTCTCTAATGTGACAGCAATCTCTATTGGTAAGTAACAAAAAGTTATGAATGTCATATAAATGACAATTTCTCCATTTATAATGAAAACTTAATTTGTATTTATACATTCCTTGGAATAAAAAGGAAAAACTAAAACCTAACAAAAATATATAAGCAATCCTCTTTTAAAATGTTTTATTTAGCTTTAAAAGCATATACACATATTCCAGTGGGTTCTTATTTTCATCCCTTTATAGAGATATAATTGGCATAAATATTGTATAACTTTAAGGTATACAATGTGATGATTTGATACATGTATACATTGCAAAAATGTGTACCATAATTTTATTTTTTTATTCTTATATGATCACAGAATGCTATAATCCAAATCATGTATTTTGAAAAGACACACCCTTACTACAATACTTCAACTAAAAATAATATTACTTTAAAAACCACTATGGGAAGAGATTATGCAACCATATTTGGAACCTTAGAATATATTTAAATAACCTGTTCTGCCAGAAATTTATTTCCAATTACTATCTAACAAATCCCTCTGCTACATCTTTAACCTTCCTCCAGGTTTCCATAACATTCTCTTTTTGAGAATATTTGACTTATTAAATTTACAAACAATTAAATCACCCTTAAGTCTCCACTTTAAATGTAAAACCAAAAAGCAAAAGAAAAAAACCTAATTCACTCATTCAGCAAGCATTTAATTAGTACGCACTTGGTAAACAGGTAAGCAAAAAGTAAGCAAAAGAAAACTAATTATGCCCTTTCTGAGGCTGACATTAGGCCCCTCTTCCCCAAAAGAGAGCTTTTCCATTCTTAGGCACAGACTGCAGCTGGAAGACTCAATGTCCCTGAGCTGCTTAAAGGAGAAGCAAAAGAACTGGTTGCCACAGACATAATACCTTCCCTGAAATGTATTTTTTTTTTTTTCTAATCCTCACTGGAAGCTATGTTTCTTGATTTGAGAGGGAGAGAAGCAGAGAGGAATAGAGTGAAACAACAATGGGTTGTTTCCTACACTCACCCTGACCTGGGGTCAAACCTGCAAACTGGACATGTGACCTGCCCAGGAATCAAACCCACAGTCTTTTGGTGTTCAGGATGATTCTCTAATCAACTGAGCCACCCGGCCAGGGCTTCACTGAAATTGTCTTTAATTCTAATCATGATTCAAGTCTGAGTCAATAGTTTCAGTTCCTGAGCAAAACACTAAACCTGCTATAAAAGGTGAAAAGAACTTATGTCAACAAAACTATTTAGCTTTATATCAGAAAATGAACTTCCTAAACAGAAAAAACAGGTGGTGGTGATGTAAAACTGTTTGAAACAAAAGGAAAAAGGAATAATAGGCCTCTAAATGAGAATAGCTGAAACCTAGGAAATCAACCGTTGGATAGAGATGAGCCTATCCAGGCAGGAAATGATTCCTGCTGCTCAAGCAGGCAAGAGCACTGAGCCTGAACCTATCACAATCCTATTTTCAAATACTGAGAATGTTCAAAAATGAAAGGCAAAATTTGAATAATCCAGAATACTAAAGAAAAAAGAAATTTCCAATAAAGGAACACGGCATAGAATTAAAAGAGAATGAGGGGGGAAAAGAGTAGTTAAGTCATCTTAGGCCTTTCTTTTCTCTCTTTACCAGCTTTTCATTTTTCATTCAATGCACTAAAACAAAATCCCAACTTTGAGGTAGTTTTACTTAGGGAGTTATCCCTTTAAAGATTTGTGCAGAAAATTCATTCCTCAACCACAAAAGAATACTGTGAAAATAACTTTAATTTCTAACTGTGGTATTAGCCACAGACAAAAAAGATTATAATACATTTTAAAATTTTTAAATCATTGTAAACCATATCTATGATGCTTTCTCTACTCATAAATAATGATAAAAACATTAGTCAAAATACAAAGCTCTGGACAGATCAACTGCTAGTGAAAAACGAGTTAATGAGTATGGAAAATAGGAGGCGGCTTCTTGGCACTATGGAAACATTGCTTCATTTCAAATTACTGAGTGATCTTCACCACAGAATTACATTCTCCCTATAGTAACAATGACAATCATATATAATTTTTAAAACATTTGTATATGTAATCCCAACTTGCAAAAAATTAGAGATTTTTCAAGATCCATGTGCCAAAGTGAGATACAAATCTGACAGGAAAACATTACTAACTTTACTAAGTCCATTAATAGTATCTTGAATTCTTGTAAGTCTGAGAATTCTCATCTTGATAATGTCAAATGCCACAACTCAAAAGATAATATTTTAAAGTTAAAAGTTTCTCAATCTTTCTTGGCTTCCAATTCTTCCCAATTATACTTCTATACTGCTAACAGTCGCCGTTTACTATTCACAATAGCATATCAAGGTTCAGGGCGCCTAAACTGTCTGGCCCATGCTCTCCCTTCTTCTAAACCAGAACTCCCTCCTACAATGCCCCCAGAGTTCCATGGCACTAGATAAAAATCTTTTAACACTAAAAAACTAGCTAAGTGTTCAGACAAATTTAAAGGACTTCCAAGATAAATGAGAAAACTAATAACAGGATGTTAAACAAATTCACCTACTAAAAATACAGGGCCTATAAACTTATTCATTTTAAAGGAAAACCTGATAGTTAATTTTAATAGAGGAACATACTACCTAATTAATGAAATAGAAAGTGGACATCAATTGCTACCTTAGAAAAATGTAGTAAAATTAAAATGATATTTCCAATTTAACATTACAGCAACTCAGCAAATGTTTAAAAATTTTTACAACTTGAATCATCCCACAATGCAGAGAAGACCTTATATACATAAATGACAATGTAACTTCTATTTTTATTCTTAAAGTGAAGAGTGAAGTTTTACAATAAAAATGTTTTAACAAAGTGGCAGATCAAAATTTAAGAGAAAATAAGTGATCAGAGGCAAAAGAAATTGTCAACAATGCAGAAAATAATGACTTAAAAAGAAATAAAAATACTACATATATATATATATATATATATATATATATATATATATATATATATACACACACACACACACACACACACACACAGAATCTGGATTCCATGAAAAAAAATACTGAGTCTGGATTCCATGAAAAAAAAAACAAGAAACTAAAGAAAAACAGTGATATCATTTTCTACTCAGTTACATATGTACTGACTAGGTAGGTAAAAAACTAATAAGCATTTAATATCTACAGAGAGGCTACTCAACACCTATTTATTTTCTGATCAGCAAATTGACGGCAAATTCAAATTTTAATCCAAAAAAATCAGATAATAGTTAATATAATTGTGACCATATCTATACATGATTTGATTTTTCTATTCATAAATATAAATGAGTATCAAGAATGAGTAGAAAATAAAATGAGGGGTAGATTCAGTAACTAACAGCATGAGCACATTTAGAATAACTTCATATAAAGTGAATGTTTTAGCAGTAAACTCACAGTAGCACTGGAAAAACAAGAAATCAATAATATAGATTAGAATTTTACACAGACAATAAATTATCACTCCTAATGTTCAAGGAAATGGTGATATGTGAAAAGCCAAAATTTGAATTACAATAAGATGCATAACTTCCTTCTTCCAGGAGGTGGCACAATAGGGAAAGAAAAAAGAAGAGAGAAAAAGTGAGATTTCTTTCCAATACTAATTTAAAAAAAGACAAAGGCAAGGAAGAGAGAGATCTCTCTAGTTCTGGAGCAGACAAATAGATGCAGAGATACTTATACATACCTTCCTAAAGGCTATCAGACCTATTCTGATATCTATTCCTAAGTATTCAGGAATCTACTAGTGTCAAAATGCTTACAAACCATTTATTTGTGTCTGCCAAAATTGTCCATTTAAGGATCATTTAGCATAACTCATTAATATAACTTCAGATTTTTTACAGACAGAAAAGCTGTCAATCATAACTCATTTTGGAGAAAGTGGCACAGAAAAGCGGTCCTATCAGTTTTTGGATAGAGAATCTATATTTACATTCAGCAGACTATTTAAGAAAATACGTCTTTATGATCCCAAAAGCAAATGTTAAACTATGAAAATTTCATAAGATAAAATACCTTAAAAAAAAAATAACATGGAAAGTTATTAAGTTATACATTTGTCCAAAATCTGAGTTACCTGAAAATATAATGCCATAAAAAAGCATTAATAATAACAATTGCAGCCATGTTCCTTTTGTTTACTTCATAAAATTATCATTTAACACGAGTAGCAACACTGCCTTGGGTTTTATATGGAATCATTCTTCCAAGGATTCCAATAAATGTGCTTATATAACAGGAGCAACTGAAGCAACACAAAATGTTTAACAAAATACATATCTCAATGATTCTTCCTTGAATGATCTCAGGAATTAACTGTTGGTACCCAGTAACTGAAACATAATAAAAAAATCTAAATAAAAACTCAACAGTTTCTTTCCTTCTGAATAAGTTAACATTTTTTAAAAAACATAATGGCTGCATATGCTACCTTAAAACCCTATAGTCTGATTAAAATTAGATTTGGTCATGCTTAACACTAAATATCTTTACCCTTAGAATAAAACACTAAAGGAATTAAAAGTTCACTTGTAAGAAAAATATAAAAGCTCACCAATTGAGACTTGCTGTTGATTAAACAGAGATGAAAGGAGGAAGGTGTGTCCTATCTTAAAAAGTGATACAGGTATGAACCAAACTTACGTCCTGTGTATGAGGTTTCTGATTAATGAATGCATGCTTTGTCAAATTCATCTCTTTTACGTCTATCTTCATAACAACGTCATATACTTTTCTGACCTTGAACACCTGGCTTCTTGGTGTTTTATTCCCGTTGTAGCCCATATCGATTCCATTACTGGGAGAGGAGGGACCAATTCGAAAGACGTGACAAAATATCCTCACAATCCTTAAAAGGCTCTTCATTTGGGCATCATAATTACTAGACAGACTAAAAATAAAAATTAAAAATATGAATAAATTAGATAGAATAAAACAAATTATTATTTTAAAATACCTATTTTAAAAGATTTTTATGAATTAGAGTAAAATTTCTTTCCTTCTTAACAGAGAGCAGAATGTTTTAATAGGAAGTTAACAAATATATATTACTTCCATTGCATATGTACAAATTATTAATTTTTAAGTCATCAGAATATAACCAATGATGAAAGCATAAAATATATACATATTTGTTTTAAGTACCTGATCTAGAGTTATTTCAAGGTAAGAAGTATTTTCTTAAAATGGAATCTTAAAATCATCAACTATTAATATAGCCTAATAATTTTGTATTACTTTACCTAGTTTAAACTTCTTCCAAGCTAAATACTTGGTCTAAAAAATGTTATTTTTCATTTTCCTTTTGTATGATTCAAAAAGATTATAAAATCCAAACTTCACCATACCCTTCTCAGTTAATTATAAAATAATTTCTTTTCAAGCCACCAGGTCTCAATATAAAAGTTTCAAGCTTAATTTCCTAATTTAAAGCCCCCCCTACCAACTTTGGTTTTTATCAAAGTGCACCTCCATTCAGTGACCTATTTAGCAAAAGTTGTGATTTCTCTGTTCATTTACACATTGTTAACTATCTTTACCTCAATCCCATATAAGAAGTTAACTCATTTGATGAAACAAAATACATGTGAAAAGGCCCTTAGTAAATATTTATTATCTTTATCAAGTACTCCTAGAATCAGTTAGACAAAAGGATATTCATTTTTCAAAAGTGTGCTAAATAACAGTTCAATTATCACTAATTAATATATATTTATTTTCTTAAAATTTCTATTAAAGTAAATGGTCAAAATTACATTACCTTGGGGTTAAGAAACACAAAATGATTCACAAATGAATAAATGAAAGGCAAACTGCAAAAATACCATTAAACATAATATAATATTGTCAATTATAATTTAATTTAATTTTAAATATTATTAAATATAAATTGGAAGGGGGAAATAACTTGTATTTAAGTTTCTCTTAAGAATCTACCTTTGTAGCTGTGAGATAATAGTAAATGTATCTATTGGTCTCTGCCCCCAGTTCCTGGGGCGCTCCTAAAACCCTTATAATTTCCTAAGTGGTTAGAGCACTAGGAGCATCTTTTGTTTTAACAGTTGGTCTTTTATGTCAATTCCTAACACAGAAACCCTAAATCTCTTGGAATTTCCTGGGTGAGAGCATTGTCTGTTGTTCTATTGAGGTGACTCTCGGTGGGCTTCAGGATAGAAAGGAAACGGGTCACAAGAAAGGCCAAGCCAGGGCTAGAAGCTTGGAATTTTCAGCTTACCCTTACCCCAGACCCATTCTCCAGAGAGAAGAGAGGGGCTGAAATGTTAATGTTTCACATGCCTATGTGACAAAGCCTCATAAAAAGCAAAAACATATGGGTTTTGGGAAGCATACAGGTTGGTGAACATATCCATGTACCAGAAGGATGATGTAAGCCAAATCCATGGGGACCGAAGCTCCTGTGCTCAGAACTCTCCCAGACCTTGCCCTAAGTACCTCTTTAACTAGCTATTCATCTATATCCTTTCTCATATCCTTTTATAAATTAGCAAATGTGTTTTCTTGAATTTGTGAACTGTTCTAGAAAATAATCCAATCCAAGGGAGAAAAGGTCATCAGAACCTCTGCTTTGCAGTCAAGTCAAACAAAAGTTATGGGTAACCTACTACTTGGGATTAACATCTGAAGTGGGGGAGGGGAGCCTTGTGGGATTGAGCCCTTAACCTGTGGGAACTGATGCTATCCCGAGGAAATTGATTTAAATTGTAGGACACCCGGCCCAGTTAAGAGTGGCTTAGTGGTTGGGCATTGACCCCGGTCACCAGTTTGATTCCCAGTCAGGGCCCATGCAGTAGAAGGCATACATCAGCCAATAGATGATGTTTCTCAACGATGTTTCTATCTCTCCATCTCTCTCCCTTCTTCGCTCTCTAAAAATCAGTAAACAGGTATTTACAAATAATAATAAATACATTGCAGGACACCCAACTGGTGTTGCAGAACTGCTTGGTGTAGGTAATAAGTGTTGTGAGAGTGGAAGTGATAGGAGAGTAAAGGAGAAACAGAAGGAAGACTAGTGTTCTCAAAATAGTAGCAATTCTAATAATACTAACAATCAATACTCACTACTAATCCCAACAAAAATCCATAACATATTCTATAAGGTATTTGAAAAGTAGCACTGTAAGTACAGACAGTGCAGTTTAGCAAAGTAGCTTTAGAACTTGTACTGCAATACTAGTAGGTCCCTTTTTCCTACTATGCTTCGTCTGTCCCACTAATCTCCTTGTTGCTTTTAAGTGCTAGATTGAAATCTAGGATCTGCTTTTTATAAGCAAAGGTATGATCCTGGATCTTCTATGTATTATCTTGGCATATAATTGAACTTTACAATTTTCTTATAGGTAACACAGATACTACATAGTAATAATGTCTAAAGTACAATGTTATTATGAGGTTTAAATAAAACAATGCATGTGAATGTTCCTTAAAATAAAAACATACATACATACATAAAATATAAATTCTTTCTGATTACTGAAGAAGAGCTAAAAATGGGACAAAGATTTAGGTAGAAAAAACAAGTAAATTTTCTAATGTAGGAAAATAAGTTAAAAGTATTATGGAGGTATTTAAAATAATCATTATCTCTAGCATTTTCCATTTACATCATCACAACTATTACCACCATCATCTCCTCTATATGTGCCTGGTACTTCAAAACACCTTATTATTTCACTAGAGGCCTGCTGCATGAAATTTGTGCAGGAGGGGAGAGGGTGTCTCTCAGCCCAGCCTGCACCCTCTCCAACCTAGGATCCCTCAAGAGATGTCCTATTGCCCATTCTGGCCCAATTCACAGGCAGTCAGACATTCCTCTCACAATTCAGGACTGCTGGCTCCCAACCGCTCGTCTACCTGCCTGCCTGATTACCCCTAAACACAGCCTGATCACCCCCTAAGCATTCCCCTGCCAGCCTGATCTACACCCAAATGCTCCCCTGCTGATCCAATTGCCCCTATCTGCCCTCTTCTGCCGGCCTGATAGCCCTACTGTCCTCCCCTACAGGTTTGGTCACACCTAACTGCCCTCCTCTGCCAGCCTGGTCGCCCTAACTGTCATCCCCTGCAGGCTTGGTCACCCCTAACTGCTCTCCCCAGCTGGCCTAGTTGCTCCCAAATGCCCTCCCCTGCTGACCTGATCACACACAACTGCTCTCCCCTGATTGCCATCTTGTGGCAGCCATCTTTTGTCCACATGGGCATAGCCATCTTTGACCACATCTTGTGTGTGTTGGAGTGATGACCAATTTGCATATTACCTCTTTATTATATAAGATTCTTACAACAATTCATTAAGACATTTACTATAATTTTTCAAAAAGGAAATAAAATCCTGATTGGACTATAGATTAAACATAGGGAGAGATCCTATCTGTATTTTGCATGAGCACCTAGCAGATGGTCTAGTGGATAGTAGGCACTAAAAAATAAATATTAGATGGCCCTGGCCAGTGTTTCTCAGTTGGTTGGTCATCATCCTATGCACCATAGGTTGCTGGTTCAATTCCTGGTCAGAGCACATAGCTCCATCCTCAGTAGGGGGGTATGCAGGAGGCAGCTGATTAATGTTTCTTTTATTGATGTTTCTCTCTCTCCCTCTCCCTTCCTCTCTCTCTAAAATCAATAAAAACATATTTTGAAAAAAATTAAGTATTAGACAGATGGGTGGATGATGGTGAAACTATGAAAAGTTACTTGCTGAGATCACAGCAAATGGTGATGTCTGCATTTACACCTGAGTCTGGAGTAAATGTTTTTACTTAATATGTCTAAATCTTAGAAAGTCCTTATCCAATAAATGGATTAATGGAAATGACTAAATAAAAAGAGAGCATTATGTCAAGCTGGAATTCAATGACTCTTACAGAGTCTAAAGTAGTATTAGAGGTAATAATAGATTTTAAATATTATCAACTTGTATACTGAGTGAAACTACTGAAGAAAGACTTAATGGCTGAGAGAACACAAGAAGGTGACTTAGCAAAGATCCTTTTGAGTAAATAGTAGAGAATGTGATTCTGGTCCGAAGTATATGGAAAGTGCGAATAAAGACATAAGGGCTAACATAATGGATTTGACAACGTAGTTGATTTATAGAAGCAAAATGTAACTGGGAGGAAGAAATCCAGATGCAACTAACTGAGGTATGATAAGACCATGACCTATTAAGACTATTAATGTATTAAGAATAGAAGTGAAAAGACTATTACAAAATGGAAATCATCCAAATTAGAAGTAGACTAAATTTGTAAGCTACAAAATAACACATTAACATGGCTGTTTATTCCTAATTGGAGTAGGTAATCATATACAAAGAAGTGTAATTGCAGGAAAATGTAATATCTATAAATGGAAATATTATAAATATTTAATATTTAATATTATAAACATAATCTTTGGAAGGAATGAAGAACTGGAAAGGGGGAGAGTTCAAGGAGAAAATTTTATAAGAAATCATTAGGATACACTGAGAGATTGAACACTAGTGTATACCCAGTTTTTTATATTAGTTATCAAGACCCCTCAATTACTTTCTTGATTCTTCTTACTGCACATTTTACTTACATGATTGTTCTAAGCAATCATGTTGTAAAATTCTAGACACATATGTCCAAATCCACTTAAGTCCCTAGTGTTACCTCTTTATAGAAACTAAAGTCTCTTTAGTAAAAGTTGATTGCCCTCGTACTTTAAAACAAAACACACAAGGATGTGTCAGCAAATTTTTAGAACATCTTACCACTGATAAAAGGCATCCACCAAAATAAACTATTCCCAGCAATGCCAAAAGGAGATAAAGCTGACAGATATTGTTAACTATTGATCTGTTTATATTTTGAAACACTTACCTAAGCAGTTTATGACCATTTGTTGTGGCAACCTCAGCAAGGCTTGTTAAAATCTTTAGGTACTGGCTTTCACTTTGCTGAGACAAATGTTCTAGAACTTGCCGTAACTAAATTTTTTACAAATAAAAAAATGTGATTATATAAACTTTATCAAGAAATTAAGTACCTATTATTTTAATAAGTATTCCCAAGCCAATTAGCTGAAATCAAGTTCTTTACAGTCATTTTGTCTTGCATAAATTCAAAAGCTAATATAGTGATAAAATGACCTAAAAATCTTTGCTCACAATCACCAAGAAAGCAATTTAAAAAATAGAAATAAAACAGAAATCACCATATTTATATAAATTTAATTCTAAAATTTAAGAGAAATATAAACGCTGCAATTTTTCAAAGAGTAGAGCTATTCTAAATACAGAGCTAAATGAACTAGTGATTACAAATCATAACATGATATTCCTTAGATTCTTTTCCTGTAGCTATGGGGAATATTCTAATTATCTTTAGGAGAAACCAAAAACCCAGAGGAAAGAAGATTCATAGGGCCAAATATTAGCACAAAGTTTATTAATTATTATATAATTCATACTTATCCTATAATGAAGATAAACAAATTTATTATTACAAATGTTAAAATATTCATTTATAATAAGTTATATTATATTTACATTTTTCATATATTTATAATATACATTGTTTATAAATGATATTAACATTATTATAAATATTTATAATAATATGATTAAGAAACACATTTGTAAATTGCCATATATGTTAAACATGCATAAAGCTTGTTCATTTACAGGCTACTAGCACAATTGCATTACCATGTTTTCTCGGAGATCTTCATTCTGTGTCATTTGAATAATTGTCTGGAAAAGCCTAGGGTGATATTGAATTAATACTTCACAGGTCTCTCCATATCCACCCTAAAAAATATATTTAAAATTATCTGGGTTTAAAAACAAAGTTCCTAAAGGAAATGTACAGATAGCACAGATAAAAAGTTGGGTTCACACTTTAGAAGGCAGTCAATCACAAGTCCAGACCACCCACACTCTGATTAAACAGTTGTAAGTCAGAAGTTCCTCAACTCCTCTTTGAGTTTGATAATTTGCTAGAAGAGCTCACAGAATCCAGGGAAACACTTTACTATTATATGTTCATTATATAGGATACAATTCAGGAGTAGCCAAATGTAAGAGATTCATAGGGCAAGGTATGTGGAAGGAGCACAGAGCTTCCATGCCCTCTCTGGGCATGTCATCCTCACAGCACTTTAGCATAGTCACCAACCCAGAAACTCTCTGAGAACCCCACTGTTTACGGTGTTTAGGAAAGTTCCAATATATAGGCATAACTGATTAAATTACTGATCATCAGTGACTGATTTCAAGCTCCAGCTCCTCTCCCCTCCCCAGGAACAGGAGAAGAAGCTGCCCTCTAATCCCTCTGCCAAACAGCCCACATCCTGAAGCTCTCTAAGGGCTTTCAGCCACCAGTCTTCTCATTAATATACAAAAAGACATTCTTACCTTCTGGAGAACCTAAGGGTCTTAGAAGCTCGTGTGTCATAAATTGAGATAAACACCAATATATATTTTCTTATGTCAATGTTCCCTTTAAAGAGCATATTCTTTACAGAATAAAAATCTTTGTACCCATCCTCTCATTTGAGAAAAAACATTGTTTTATCAGTCTCTTTCTATTATAAAGTAAGGGGCTAAGAATATATATTAACAACATACTTGTACACATAAATCCAGAGGGGTTACTCCATTTTTATCTGGCAGATATTTGGCTCCTCGTAATAGAAGAATCTGTGCTGTGTCTCTCTGACCATGACTGTACAGAAAGAGAACCAAGTTAAAAATATAATCCTTTTAATTTAGTATTTTTCTACGAATTATTGACAGTTAATATGAATCGAGGATTAAAAATTTTTAAGAATTGAGAGGAAGATCTGAACAATATCCTCAACAATCAGGAAAACACTTCTCAATGTTAAGTCATACTTTCACTATGAAGATAAGAAAATGACCTATTAAATATAAGTATTGAACTTGAGACACATTACCTACAATAAATCATAAATATTTTGGGATAAGTAACTGCTACTGAAGATTCTGCTTTCGTTTCTTTCTTCTAGTCACTTCCTTCTCAACTCTAACCAGATTTGTTTAACAATCTTTTTTCAAAGAGATCCAATGTTTGCTAGGTAAAAACTTACTAGTGATGCCACCCTAGCTGGATTACTCAGTGGTTAGAACATTGGCCTGCAGACTGAAGGGTCTCAAGTTCTATTCAGGACAAGGCTTGGTTGCAGGCTTGATCCCCTGCACCAGGGCACATGCAAGAGACAACCAATCCATGTGTTTCTTTCACATCAATGTTTTTTGTCTTTCCTTCTCTAAAAATCAATGGGAAAAAAAATATCCTCGGATGAGGATTAACAACAACAACAACAAACTCAGTGATGCCTTCATCTGGTGGCTCAATTGGTTGGAGCATCATCCCATACACCAAAAGGTTGTGGGTTCAATTCCTGGTAAGGGCACATACCCAGGGCACAATCTCTAGTTGGAGCACATATGGGAGACAAACAATTGATATTTATCTCTCACATTGATGTTTCTCTCTATGCCTCCTCCCCCCACATTCCTCTCTCTCTAAAATATTAATAAAAACACATCCTTAGTAAGAATTAAAAAACAAAACAAAAAAAAACACGTAATGATGGGGCCTGACAGGGTACCTCTGTTGGATAGAACATCATCCTGATACACCAAGATTGCAGGTTCATTCTCTGGTCAGCAACCTATACATAAATAAGTGGAACAACAAATCTCCCTCTCTCTCAAATTAATGAATAAAAATAAGTACATAAAACTTGATGAGAATACTAGCAAAAAGTACTTCTATAAAATTCTTTAACCATATCCCTATGCTTAGAGTAACTATATGAATTCCCCAGTTCTGTACAATACTAATCTATCTATATATATATAGAAGGCTAAGCAACTGTCCGTCTGACCGGTAGCTATGATGCACAATGACCACCAGGGGGCAGACACTCAATGTAAGAGCTGCTGAGCTGCAGTGACTTGGTTCTCGAGTGACACAACCTGGAACCAGAAAGGAGGAAGCTTGATTCTGGGGTGCTCCGAGGTGCAACACTCAAGAACTGCCCTCTTGCAATCTGAAACCTCTTCGTATACTCAAGTATACTCATCTTTTACTACCCTGTTTCCCCGAAAATAAGACAGTGTCTTATATTAATTTTTGCTCCCAAAGAAGCACTAGGTCTTATTTTCAGGGGATGTCTTATTTTTCCATGAAGAAGAATACGGTACACATTTATTGTTAAATGAAAATAAAGGAAATTTATTATTTGTCTATGGTACGGTAGTACAGTAGTTGTCAACACAAACCAGACAAACTGTGAATCCTACACATAAATCCAGAGGGGTTACTCCATTTTTATTTGGCAGATATTTGGTTCCTCGTAATAGAAGAATCTGTATCAAGAATTTACTCATTTATTCAATGAGTATCAAGAATTTACTCATTTATTCAAGAATTTACTCATTTATTCAATGACAATCACGTCATCATCTTCTGGAATATCATCATAACAATCCAATTCCTGAGTTTTCTGGTGAATTTCTTGTGACTCCATTTCTTTCAGAATCAGTGGACCAAATCTCTCATGTTTAGCGTAGGGGGGGCCTTATTTTCAGGGGGATGCCTTATATTTCACTCAGAAGGAAACCTGTAAGTAGGTCTTATTTTCGGAGGATGTCTTATTTTCGGGGAAACACGGTATTATACATGGCATTGTTCTATATAAAATATTTTTCAAACACATAATTATAATAATTTGTTCCAAACATTTACTAAGCATTTCAGCAGAAAGCACGGTACTACACATTGACTTTAAAGTGGTGAATAAAATAAGCAAAATTCTTGCTTTCACTGAGCTTTCGATCTAGTAGGGGAGACACGCTGTAAACAAGCAAATACACTATACATACGATAGAAAATTTGGGGAGAGGCTTCCTTGGATTGGTAAGGAATTGCCTTTCTACAAAGTAACAGTTAAGCAGTGACATGAAGAGGGAGTCAGCCATCTAAGAAGCCTAGGGAAGACCTTTTCAGGCAAAGCAAACAGCATATAGAACAGCCTGCTGGAAAGAGTCAGCTGTGTTTGGGGAACTCCAAGAGAACCAAGCAGGTCTCAAGGGTGAATGCAGATTGGATTTTACTTGAAATATAACAAAGAGGCACTGAAAAGTTTTAAATATAAGGTTTAAACACAAACTGACCAGACTGATTCATTTTTTAAAGATCACTTTGGTAACTGAGGAAAGAACAGGTGGAAAAGAAAAAAGAATCAGGAAAACCACTTATGAGACTACTGCAGTACTCTAGATAAGAGGTAACATCTCTAACCAAAGTGGTTTAGTGAGCTGGAGAGAATAAAGAGATCAGAATATATTCTGAAGGTGGAGTTTAGAGAACTGACTAATAAATTTCAAGTGAAGGGTCAGAGAAAAAAAGACATAAAAAACAATTACCTAGTTTCTGGTTTAAATGGAAAGGATATGGGTTCCAATGACAGATTAGAAAAACTGGAGGAGGTTTGAAAAGAAAAATCAGAAACCTGTATTTTGGATATGGTGACATCTGAGATTCTATGAAACTTTCAAGTGATGGTATAAATTAGGCAAGTGGACATTTCAAATCTGAAACTTCAAAGAAAGGTCTTATCTAGAAACAACCTCTCAAGATAGAATATGATTTCAGGGAACCAAACAAAGATATTATTCATAAACTCAAGATACTATGGAAGGAACTGGTTTTCTTAAGTATAATTTTAGAAAATGATAAGATCTAAAGTCTAGAGATCCAAAGTCCCTGTATTGTAATTCAAAGTTGTTCCATGATGATTTGAATCAATCTAATCAAAGTAACAACAGAAATCCTAAAGAGAAGCTAAACAAAAAGAAAAGCAGGTCTTTCAGTATAAAACAAATCTCCAATAAAATGTTATAAAACAGGAAAAAAAAGATAAAGAAATAAGAGATTTTTGGAGAGCTCTATATTTTAATTTAAGAGCCTAAATATTATAATAAATATAATCTAAACCAAAGGGAAGAATCTCTAGTGTATTGTAAACTGTTCCTAACTGCTAACTACATTTATATAATATTGTGTGTGTGTGTGTGTGTGTGTGTGTGTGTGCGTGCGAGCGCGTATAATTATTATATTGCTACCTCCACAGAGACTGAGGTATATTTATTACTGTATCAATAATGGATGGCAAACAGCAAGTGCTAACTAAATGTTTGCAAACTATATAAATGAATCAGTGAACAAAATAAGTGCTTTAAGAAAATGTACCCAGATATATTACAAAAATAACTTAGTGCAGAATTCAATATCTAACAATGATTAAAAAAATTTGTTTTTAATTTATAGATCCAGAGAAAGTAAATACAAGGCTCTGGACCAAGACATACTTAATAGCTTATCCCATTGGAACTGACCTTAATAAAGACAACTAGAAAAATTAGTGGAATATGTTTTTTCTTATTAGTTAATAAGTAATATAAAATTGAATAATCAAAGATATTAAAAGCTCCACTTACACCATATCAAAACACTGGCAGTATAATAGAAAATACATTTCCTCATGTGGTTAAGTAACAACCATAATGCTATTATTAGGTAGACCAACTAATGCGGATTTTTTTCAATAGATGGAGTTACACATATATTGATATATGAGCGATTTGATATGTATGCTATTTTGTTGTATTGACAGCAAGCTTCAAAACTTCATGTCGAGTTTGCTGAGGGTGTTAACATCAGATATTTTTACACTTAAAAATGTCAAATTTGTGCCAAAAAAAAAAAAAGAGGATTTGCAGAAAGTTTTAATTTATTACTTTATTTTGAAGAAAAAGTAATTGTATGCTTTGGGAAGCTTATGATGAACATGCTCCATCTCAAGATAGTTGTGAATGCTGGTTTAAACGCTATAAAAGTGATGATTTCGATGTCAAAGACAAAGAACATCCAGATCAACTGAAAAAGTTTGAACACCAACAATTACAAGCATTATTGGATGAAAATGCGGGTCAAACTCAAAAACAACTTGCAGAAAGATTAAATATTACTCAGCAAACAGCCAAAACTGGTTTGGCTCAGTGGATAGAGTGTTGGCCTGTGGACTGAAAGGTTCCAGGTTCGAATCTGGTCGAGGGCATGTACCTGGGTTTCAGGCACATCCCCAGTGGGGGGCGTGCAAGAGGCAACTGGTCGATGTTTCTTTCTCATCGACATTTCTAGCTCTCTATATCTCTCCTTTCCTCTCTGTAAAAAAATCAATAAAATATATTTTAAATAAATAAATAAATAAATTTTACTCAGCAAACAATTTCCAATCACTTACAAGCAATGAAAAAGATTTTAAAGGAAGGAAAATGGGTGCCACATCAACTGAATGAAAGACAAATGGAAAATTGAAAGGTCACCAGTAAAATGTTGCTTCAATGGCATGAAAGAAAAGTCTTTTTTGCATCAAATTGTGACTGGCAATTAAAAGTGGATTTATTTTGAGAATCCCAAATGCACAAGATCATGGATTGATCCAGGTCAACCATCAACATTAACTGCAAGGCCAAATTGCTTTGGAAAGAAGACAATGCTCTTTATTTGGTAGGATTAGGAAGGTGTGGTGTATTACGAGCTTCCAATACCTGATGAAACCTTTAATACTGATTGCTACCAACAACAAATACTCAATTTGAACCACGCTTTGATCGTGAAATTACCAGAATGTGCCAGAAGACACAGCAGAGTAATTTTGCTTTATAATGCCGCACCATCACACACTTCAAAACCAGTTAAAGACAAGTTGAAAGATCTTGCCTGGGAAGTATTAACCCAACAACTGTATTCACCAGACCTTGCTTGTTCAGATTATCACTTGTTCCAATCGATGGCACGCACACTTTCTGAGCAGCACTTCAAAACATACAAAGAAGTGGAAAATTGTGTCTCTGAATGGTTTGCCTCAAAACAAGAAAAGTTCTATTGGGACGGTATCCACAAATTACCTGAAAGATGGGGGAAATGTGTAGCTAGTGATGGACATTACTTTGAATAAAACACTTTTGATGGTTCTCTTGAAATTACCATGTTTTCTCTGATTACAAAATCCACTATTATTAACCAGCACACCTAGTATACTTTATCTTCAAAGACAGCACAATATTAATGGAAATACCAGAGAGCCTTAGAAAATATACAGAAATGTTTGTGTTTGGAAATAATAGTAGATACATGACATTCTTTAATGACAATATCTGGAAACATAAAATCTCATACCTGCAAGCAAAGTACAATGGAGTGGCTCCTGATACATTTGGCCTGTTAATATCAGCACCACTGTCTAGCAAGCATTGCACTGTCTGGGGAAAAGAAGAAAAAATTAAAAATAAACCAGGAAAGTAAAAAAAAAAAAAAAAAGGACACAATTATCACAATTTTAATCCATATAAGAGAAGTTCTTGCCACAACTTGAAGCTTTAAAGAGTGAGTAGGAACATAACAATTATGATGGTTAAACAAATTCAATTTTTGGTAAGCTCTCTGTGTCTCTCAGGCACTACACAATTTTTGTGGAATTGTCAATATAATATAAACTATACTAACCTGGGAAAGCTCTAAACAACTGACACATGGAGGACTTTAAATTTGGCTAATACAACTGAGGAACTAAATTTTAATTTTATTTTAAACAGCCATATATGGCTAATAAATTGAATAATCCTGCTCTAAATATCTGAATTTAAAAAATAGGTAGCAGCCCAGCCACTTTGGCTCAGTGGTTGAGCATTGACCAACATACCAAGACCAGTTCGATTCCTGGTCAGGGCACATGCCTGGGTTGCAGGCTTGGTCCCCAGTAGAGGCATGCAAGAGACAGCCAATAGATGTTTCTCTCTCTCTCTTTCCCTCTTTCTTCCTCTCTCTCTAAAAATCAATAAAATCATATTTTAAAAAATAGGTACCAGAGCTATAAATCTCTCAAAGTCAAAGAGCATAATTGTTAAAGTACAAAATGTTAAAAAGCTAAGAGTCCTTTTGTTGTTAACAGCAGCCAATACTGACTCAGTTTTTCTGATCATTATTAAAATGTACTCTGTCCTCTAAGCTTTTCTTGTACAATCATCTAACTCAGTGGTCGGCAAACCATGACTCACAAGCCACATGCGGCTCTTTGGCTCTTCCACAAAATACCATGTGCGGGCACACACGTAAAGTGCGCCCATGCACAGAGTCGGTTTTCAGCTCTCAAAAGAAATTTCAATCATTGTACTGTTGATACTTAGCTCTGTTGATTAATGAGTTTGCCAACCACTGATCTAACTAATATTAACAAAAAAGAAAGCTAATATAAAATCTTAAGAATACATATCTTATGATTAGGGATTAGGCAAGGCTCGCCTGAAAACCTTAAAAAAAAAAAAAAAAGTCTGGTTATATTCCTATGATCCTCATTTGAGTTTCTCCTATAAAAAGAAAATGCACAAAAACTTAAGTTTTTGGAATTAGACTGTAAAACATTACGTCTTGGTTGAACACACATATTCATCTTTCTAAAGATGCTGCTCTAAAACCTAGTTCAATGGTAGTAAAATAATAAGACTATAGCTCTGGCCAGTGTTCTCAGTGGTTAGAGCCTGCACACCAAAGGGTCTTGGGTTCAATTCCCAGTCAAGGACATGTACCTGAGTTGTAGGTTCTATCCCTGCCCAGTTGGGGTCCATGCAGGAGGCAATCAATCGATGTGCCTGTCTCACATTAATGTTTCTCTCTCCCTCTCTTTTCCCCTCTCTTTAAAATCAATGAAAAGAAACACACAAAGAAGGCTCACCAAATACCCAGTCTAATTAATTAAAAAAACTTTCAACAAATTACAACAAAGTGAAATTTCATAATATTGAGGAAATTTGATTCCAGAGATAATTAGAAATCAGACTGGCATTAACAGCAACACCAGAATCTAAAAGATAAAATGCCTTGAAAATTGCAAGTTAAATGACTTCCAACGTAGAATTCTATAGCTAGCCGCACTATCATTCAAATACACAGTTTTAAATTAAAACGCACACACAAAATATGCTTACCTATATACTAGTGATATTTCAAAAAAATTTACCTCCAATGAACCTTTCTGAAGAATCTACTGAAGCATATCTTCCTCCAAAACAAGGTACTACACTAAAATATAGTAAGATGTGGAATCCAGAGTACTGGAGATCAAATACAAGAGAGAATAAGAAATGTCCAGTGTAGAGAAAAATAATAAAACTGATATTATCTAATGACTCTGTTTTTGTAGAAAACAGTTCTGAGATACCTCTCAGCTCATATTTTCATAGAATCATATAGGAAAAATTATTAATAAAAAGAAAATTGAGCAAAGTCAATTTTAAGAAAAATAGTCCTCTAGATAGAAAATGTTATAGTTCACTACTTGATTCAGCAGTAAACAATATTTACCCAACTATATATACAACTAATACTGTCTAAGCAAAATTTGTGATATAATTAATTTTAAAAATTGGGGAAGAGGGCATGGGAAAAGGATTTTAATGAGCTAAACACCTCATGCACCATAATAAGAACTGACCCAAAGATATCTATAAAAGTCATGAATTGAGAAAGAGCAGAGGAAGCATGTTCTTTGGAAATAGATATCATAAGAAAAGGTGCAAGAGTTGAATATTGTTGCCTGGTGATCATGACGTAGCAAAGACTGATGATTTAATGGACTATTATTATTACAAAGGTTTTGATTAAAACATTTTAAAATATACTATTCACATCTTTTTCTTTGAATTTACTTCTATTCCAAAAGAAATTCTAAAATCTATATAATCTATGTAATATAATAAAAATATTACATAAAACTTTATTATTGGCTATAGAATTCCTTTAAACTGGGCATAGTGGTCTATTACCACTTTCAAAGACAAGAAAAATAAGCATTTGGGTAATTTTATAAGATAAAGCCTATTTAAGCCTTTAGATCATGGTATATCCCTTTTTTATTTTTGACCTAGGAGTTCTCTATATAATCCCAAAATGGGAAATGGAAAGCCGTAATACTGTTTACTGTTATTGAATTTATAGACAATAAACTATCTCTCAAAAAGCTCAGAAGAGATGAAAGCAAATATATCAAATATATGTAATATGCAATTAAAACCTAGCAATCCAGAGAGAAGCTGAAATAAAGTAATTATTAATAAAACAAATATGCATCCATAAAAATTGTTAAAACTAATTAATAATATAATAATATTAATCACCTTAACATGTGCCTGGACACTGCTAATAAGGATTTATCATTTCATTTATCATTTCATTTAATACATCAATATTCATTGCACTTAAAGATACAAAAGAAAATGGAAAGAAAAAGGCAAGGGGAAATGGTACTGCATTTGACTAGTCTATTCCATCTTTCAACAAAAATTCCAATGTCTATTATGTACAAGGTACTACTCTAAATGCTGGAATTACAGCAATGAATAAAAGACAAAAATCTCTGCCTTTATGAAACTTACATTCTAGTGGAAAAGGAAGACCAAGAAAAAAAAAGAAATAAGCAAAATATGTACTGTACTAGATGGTGATAAAAACCTATCCAGGAAAATGAACAGAATTCGAATGACAGATTTCAATTCGTTTTAGCAAATTTCTCACTCCTAAACCCTTATACACAAGTATTTCTGTAAAAACTACACTGTGTCTGCTTATCAGGATATAAGCCATTAATTAAAAATTAATAATTATGATTTACAATGTTCATAAGCTCTGTTTTCAAAATTGTTTGGCTTCTCATTTACTTGTAAAAATTAAGCTCAGCAGTTTACAATTTAATAACTGTAAACATGTAAAAGTATACCAACGTAAATATTTGTGATTGTAACTGAATATCTATATTTTTCAAGTTATCACAACACATTTTAAGCACTACAGTAAAATGAAATCATTTTATGTGACTAATTTAGATCACCAAAATATGCTTTTAAAAATTCCCTCCTCCCCTTAAAAAACAACAATTATTCTCGGATTCCTAGGTAATCTACTATAGAGGGATCTTCTTCCTCATAGAATAAGAAAGTACTGGGAAGGAACTTGAAGGAAAGCATTGAAAGAGGATTATTTTTATATGGCCCTCAAGAAATTCTTAAGCAGAAACAACACATTTTCAACAGAATTCATGACCTTTCAAGTGATAAAACAATATCCTGAGCAGAAAACTAATGTGCAAAGCTAATGTTCAGGTCAATCACAAAAGTCATTTAATTGAAGGCAGTGACTAACAAAGACCACCTGTGCCCAATACGCTGATAAATTACAAAGAAATCCAAGGCAGCTCTACTTTATCAATGTCAACATTCTAAACAACACTAATCAAAGTAAAAAGGAATAGATATTCAATATTAAAACTACAGTAAAACCTATAATGTACTATCATTTGCTAAAAGACCAAACAACAGAAAAAGCAAGCATCTTTGTTTTATTGTCTATTAAAAAGAACTGTGGTTATTAACTAATGTCACTCCAATAAATTTAATTACATTTTAAAAATTCTGAACATTAGAAAAAAATTAGTAGCAATGCAGAAATAACTTAAGCACTAAGAAAAACAGCCAACCCTCTAATCAGTGGCTGGTTTACATAAATCTTCTCTAGAAATCTGTCCACATAAAACTATGGAAACTTTGAACTCTTATATAAGATACAGAAAAAAAATTAATATTATCCAGTTCTGTGAGAAAAAAACGGAGTAAAGAGAACTTTTTATTTGCTTACAATGCCTAGAAGTGATAAGGTAGAGGTCTAATACTAAAATACATAAAATTACTCTAAACCTAAAATAAAAAAAAAGAAAGAAAGAAGTGCTGGAGTGTCTATCTTTGTGCCTCAAGGCAGATCAAATTATTGTTTTTGCAAAGCTTTCAATTAAGCGTGGTCTATAATCTCTGGATGAAAAGCTTGGGAGCTGGCTTTAGATAGCAAGAAAGTTATCTGAACATAGGTGAGCACTGTTCCTTAACAAGCCTACAATTTCAGCAAAAATAAATGCCGTCAATTCTATCAAAGATAGTCTATAATACCATAATTAGTATCATACAGCTAAGTAACAATTGACCTAAAAATATTGTGTCAAAGAGCTTAAATCTACTCTAATCAGGTTCAGCTACTGTTTTATGTTTGTGAAACTTCATATTCAACTATATAAATTTAGAAATATAAAATTTATTCTGATAAAAGTAAAATTTATTGTACAAATAAATTGAAATTCGTCCCTAAACTAATCCTGCTGTGTACTCTAACTTAAATAAATTGAGAATGAACCATGTGAAAGTTTTCTAGGGTTTATAAATGCAAAATATTCCAGAAATCAGTAAGCAACTATTTATGGCAATTCAACACATCAATAGATTTAATTAATAACAAAGAAAAACATTACCAAAATATTCATTCAACTTATGGCCCTCCCAAAAAATGGAGTCAATTTTACTATGTAGAATAATATGAGGCCTCACTATTCTTTCTAAAAATGAGATTAAAACTCAAAAAATAGCTTATTCCATAAGAGTAAATCAATTAAAGATCCAGATAGTGCTCTCTATACTTTGCTTGCAGAATCCCATCATCCATATTAATAATGACAGTAATAGTACCAATACTATTAGTGCTCTTAAGTGTTTTCCAATGTGTTCACAACACTTTTCTTAATTATGTGATCAGTAAACAGAATATACCTTAGGAGCTACAGAAGACATGGAAACAAAGAGTTGCCAAAGACTATCTATTCGATATAATAAGCCAGCTGAATAATCAAACTCTGAAATGATATGTCAAAATCGATACTGAAAAATAAACCATAATATTAGTATCATACAGCTAATTAACAACTGACCTAAGAAAAGTTATAGAAAATTGCATTATTCAGGAATTGTTATGATCACTTCTTTGATCTGATCACTTATAAATAGGAATAGAAGTAGTTTAAAATCATAGTGCTATTATGTTGCAAGAACAAATAAAAGATCGGAAGGTACTTCAACTGCCCAAACTACTTCCTTGCAATAAGAGGATGATGAGACCTTTACTGCTAAGAAACTGATGCATCTATAGCGAAGATTGCTCAATTTCTTAGTTATGTCAAAAATGAATATACCAAATCCTTTAACTTTAAAAGAGTAATGTATGTAATTATTGGCCTAAGAGCAAAAATATAATCTTCAATTACAAATTCTACAAAGCTTTAGAGCTCTTAGGTAGTTACTCAAAATCTTATGTCCCTTTGAGATTTACTCTAAAATGAGATTAGATTGAAACTTCAGAGGATTTGTCATAGCTGTCTCTATAATTGAAAAGAAATGATAGCTTTTTTAAATGTTTTAAAATAGTTTCTTTCCCCCTCTAAAGTTTCCTATATCATTTTATAAAAAATAGATAATCAATATGCAAGCTTTTAAGCTTACGCATAAACTGAAATCTTGAAACCTGTATCTACATGGACACCAGTTTTAAATACTTGTTAATGATTTTATGTAAGAACTGGCTACTTTGAGACAATGAAAAGGCCATTTTCACTTGCCACTAAAGTCCCAACTGTGATATCTGACAAAGCATTTTAGACTCATTATTCAACTTATGGAAAGATACAGAGTTCAAAAAATCAATAATCCCTATCCAGTAATAACTTATCATATCTTATAATACAATAAATCATATTCACTTCTAGATAAAAAGGATATGCTTATCCATGGAACTGTGAACATGGACCAGAAATACATGAGTAATTATGAGACACAGATAATATTAGTACAACTGTCAACACAGATTTTTAGAAGTACAATTCAGCCTGGAGGCAGAAGGTACGCTAATTTTTCAAGATTCCTTCTTGACCTAATTGAAGAAGGATTAAAGATGAATACAATGTTTCCAAAAACAGTTTTAAATACTATCTGTATATTATTCTTGCAGATAACTAAAATCAATCAACTATGACAGAATGGAATTTGACTCACTAATACAATCAACCACCAGTCAACATGGTTTTTTGTACACTTCCTCCTCTACTATATCTGCAAAATCTCACCCTGTAAAACTCATCACCACAGTAAAGTCAGGCTCCCTATAAATCTTCTGAGAATATAGTTCTTCAAAGGCATTTGGCTATGAGGAATTCTCCCGTACTTTACCACACCTGCTTTAAGTTGCAAACCATATGGAATATATTATACTTATAATACCTACCTTTCAGTAACTTCAGAAGGCAATTCTAAATTTCTAATACAGCCTGAAATGCACATGTTTTGAAATAAGATTTTCTATGTAATTCTTGCTTCTTCACAGCAAAGATTCAAAGCAGCTCAAATGAGATTTTTGTAGATCATTCCTAATCTGAATTCCAATTTTTAATACACTAGTTCCTGGACAACAAGTAGGGTTTGTAATCTTAATACAAGACACTCCACTTACCTGTTATAAAGATAAATTTTAAAAAAATAAAGTCCAGTATAGAACACACACACACAGAGAAAGAGAGAGAGAGAGAGAGAGAGAGAGAGAGAGAGAGAGAGAGAGAGAGAGAGAGAAACCCTGGACCACTCAAGAGTAGAATATTTCAGATCATTTTTTATCATACAAAATATTTTTTAAATTTAATAGTGTGGACTCTGAGACAATGAGAAGAAATATTCTTTGAAATAGTCCTTGAAAATACTGGGTTACTTTTCAGATGATAAAAGTCAAAAAAATTTTAAAAAATTATGTTCAGAAGAAATTCCATGTAATAATAAAAAAAAATTCCCACATCCCTCCTCTTATCAAACTCATTCAACATAAGACAACGTCAACCTTGGCTTCACAATCTTAAAGAAGTGAAATACTCTGTGAACTGAAGTCATACATAAAGCATCTAAACACAAAGGAACCTATATCCTGAACCCAGGTTAGGAAAAAAGTGTTTCAGAGAAGAAAATCAATGACTCCACTAAGAATTCTCCCACCAAAAGATGAAACTCAAACAGTATACAAAAAAATAAATATAAACAAACTAATGTATCTTTATAGTTGTTGTATTGGGTTGGTCTTTGTTGTTGTTATTTTTACGGTTAACAAGTAAATAAGCAACATTCTATTATCAATAATAGTAAATGGGGAGTGGGGAGGAAGACAACCTGAAAGTAACCAGGAAATTACAGCAAAGAAGAAATTCATTTATAATTGTAAGCTAACAGCCTTTACAGAAGGCAGCAAAGTCTCCTAATCAGAGAAAAATATTAGCAATTTTAAAAGCCATATGTCTGCATATAGGATTAACAAAAAACTATTGCTATAAAAGAAATGCATGATTTTAGAAACCTAAAATAAGAGAGAAAACAGCTGTCATTTTAGTGCTTGCATCATATTCTGAGACAGTAAACAAATATGATCCCCCAAGTTAAATGATTTAAACAATGTCAGTATTCACTTTCTTTATATCTAATCCCAATAATTGAGGCTTACTAATAAAAAATAAAAATTTGAAAAACTTAGTTGATAAAACATAATTGCTGAAGTTATATATGAACATACCACATTTACTTTTTAATATATTCCACCATTTGAAAATCTATGAATCAAAAATGAATTTGAAATCCAAATTAGAAATATTTTAAACATGCAAAAGCACCATTTTCTATTCCTTTTTTCCATATGAAGTATATTAACCAGAAGTCTGTGTGATGCAGAAAATGCTGTAACAAGATTTTGCTATGATGCTTCATGTTTGCAATTATGCACAGTGAGAAACTTTTCATGAATTCAAAGTTTTCAAAAATAAACACATGCTGAATTAAAGTTCTCACAGCTGAATTTACCGTCTTGTGCCCATTCTGGCAGGCCACATGCAGCGCTGTCTGCCCCATTGCGTCCTCAACGTCGACATCACTGACGTGCTGTACAAGGTCATGGAGTAGTTCTGTCCGCCCATTCACAGCCAGCCAGTGTATCTGTGCAGTCATTTAGTTACTTAACATTTATGCAAGAGTGTTTCATATAAAAACAGCAGATAAATGCTATTATTTCCCAACTGTGTGCATAATACACACTAAAGAACTTATGCCTACATATATATATTTTCCTATATTTTTATAAGGGGAAAATATGCATCAAGATATAGGTTATACCACCATGTATTTCAAAATCAAGCACTTTATGGTTCAAAGTAATTAAGTTTAGACTTAGGACCACCAAATAGTCTCCTTCTTAGATGATCCTGCACTCTCATGAATAGCTTTCCTTTATAGAAAAGGTACTGAATAACTTTCCTTTCCCAGAAGCAAACATAAATTAAAAGTAATTAACAAAGTGTCATAGTCTTTACTTCAATTGGTTAGACCATCTACTTCATACTCCAAGGTTTTATATTTTATCCCTGGTGATGGTACATACAAGAATCAACCAATGAATGCATAAATAAGTAGAACAACAAAGTGTTGTTTCTTCCTCTCTTGTCTAAAAAGCAATCAATAAAATTTTTATAAAATCCAATTAGAAAATGGACAAATGACACGAATTACCATCTATATATATAAAAGCCTAAGCAACCCTCGCAACCAAATGGATTACCGAACAGGCTTCAAGGGGCAACTAGGCCAGCATGGGGGTTAGTGAGGGGTGATCAAATGACCAAGCAGCAGGCTGGTGGGATGACCAGGCCCATGGGGTGGGAGGGGAGTTAGGGGCAACCAGGCTGGCAGGGGGGTGCGGTGAGGAACAATCAGACCAGCAGAAGAGGGAAATGTGGGTGACAAGGCCAGAGCGGGGGCAGTTGGGGGCGACCAGGTTGGCAGGAGGGGCAGTAAGGGTAACCAGGCCAGCGAGGGGGTCGAGGGCGATCATGCGGGCAGGCAGGTGAGCAGTTAAGAGCCAGTGGTCCCAGACTGTGAGAGGGATGTCTGACAGCCAGTTTAGGCCCGATCCCCAGGATCAGTCAGACATCCCCCGAGAGGTACCGGATTAAAGAAGGTATAGGCTGGGCTGAGGGGAACCCGCATGCCCAGTCTTTCCCCCCCCCCCCCTCCATACACAGGCCTCTAGTTTCATATAAGAGGATGAACAAATGGTAAAAAAATGCACATAAAAAGATGTTCAACAATATCGGCAATTAGGCAAAAGCAAAGTAAAACTACGAGATACCAGGTGTACCATTTAACAATGTAGATTTTGTAATCAAAGAAAACACGATAATTTCAAGAGAAACATCAAAAGTGCTTTATTCAAAGTAATGTCCATTGCTAGCTACATATTTCCCCCATCTTTCAGGTAATCTGTGGATACCATCCCAATAGAACGTTTTTTGTTTTGAGGCAAACAATTCAGAGACACAATTTTCCACTTCTTGGAATGTTTTCAAGTGCTGCTCAGAAAGTGTGCGTGCCATCGATTGGAACAAGTGATAATCTGAACAAGCAAGGTCTGGTGAATACAGTTGTTGGGTTAATACTTCCCAGGCAAGATCTTTCAACTTGTCTTTAACTGGTTTTGAAGTGTGTGATGGTGCGACATTATAAAGCAAAATTACTCTGCTGTGTCTTCTGGCACACTCTGGTAATTTCACGATCAAAGCGTGGTTCAAATTGAGTATTTGTTTTTGGTAGCAATCAGTATTAAAGGTTTCATCTGGTATTGGAAGCTCGTAATACACCAAACCTTCCTAATCCTACCAAATAAAGAGCATTGTCTTCTTTCCAAAGCAATTTGGCCTTGCAGTTAATGTTGATGGTTGACCTGGATCAATCCATGATTTTGTGCATTTGGGATTCTCAAAATAAATCCACTTTTCATTGCCAGTCACAATTCAAAGCAAAAAAAGCTTTCTTTTGTGCCATTGAAGCAACATTTTACTGGTGACCTTTCGGTTTTCCATTTGTCTTTCATTCAGTTGATGTGGCATCCATTTTCCTTCCTTTAAAATCTTGCCCATTTCTTGTAAATGATTGGAAATTGTTTGCTGGGCAACGTTTAATCTTTCTGCAAGCTGTTTTTGAGTTTGACAGGCATCTTCATCCAATAATGCTTGTAATTGTTGGTGTTCAAACTGGATGTTCTTTGTCTTTCACATTGAGGTCATCACTTTTATAGTGTTTAAACCAGCATTCACAAGTATCTTGATATGGAGCATGTTCACCATTAGCTTCCCGAAGTATACAATAACTTTCAGCAGCACTTTTCTTCAAAGTAAAGTAATGAATTAAAACTACTCACAAATACTTTTTTTGGCATGAAATTCAAGATTTTTAAGTGTAAAAATATCTATGACGTTAACACCTTCAGCAAATTAGACATTTGAAGTTTTAAAGCTTGCTGTCAATACTACAAAATAGCATACATATTAAATAGCATACATATCAACATATGTGTAACTCCCATCTATTGTATACAATAATAGACTAATATGCTAAATGTCTGGTCGTCCATTCAACCAATCAAAGCCTAATATGCTAATGATATGCTATGGCATGCACTGACCACCAGGGGGCAGATGTTCTGACCAGTAGGTTAGCTTGCTGCTGGGGTCTGGCAGATCAGGACTGAGCGAGGCAGGCTAGACTGGCCCTGGAGTCCTCCCATGGTCCCTTCCTGCCTGGCCAATCTCCCTCATCCCTCCGTGGCCCCAATCATGCACCAGTGGGTCCCTCCACCTGCCAGGCACCCCCTTGCAATCTGGGACCTCTCGAGGAATGCAGGAGAGCCAGTTTTGGCCCAATCCAGTAGGCCAGGCCAAAGGACCCCACTGGTGCACAAATTCATGCACTGGGCCTCTAGTACCTATCATAATTGCCAAAATAAAAAAATATTAACAACACCAAATGCTAGTGAGGATGCTGAAAAACTAGATTCCTGGAGGGGTGGTAAAATGATACGTCACTCTAGAAAAGTTAGGCAGTGCATTTGAAAACTAAACATGAAAATGCCATACAAACCAGCAACTGCATTCCTGGCCATTTATTCCAGAGAAATGAAAATGTATGTTCACCAAAAAAAACCTGTACACTAATGTTTATGCTTATGGACGCTTTATTTGCAATAGCTACAAACAGGAAACAACCCAGTTGTCCTTCAGATACACAAAAAAAATCTGAATCAGTCTCCAGGGAATATGATGAGTATACAAAAGCTAATCCCAAAAAGTTCCACACATTATATTCCATGTATATATTCTTGAAACAACAAAATTTCAGGAAAAAAAAAAATTAGATTAGTGATTGCCAGGGTTTAGGCATGGGAATTAAGGGGAGAAAGGAGTGATTAGAAAAGATAAGTGATTAGATAAGGCATCTATGTGAAATTGGAAATGTTCAGGATATTGACTATGGTAGTGAACCCATGGATCTACACAGGTAATAAAGCTGTATAAAACAATGTATGTACATGCAGACTCACACAGGTAAAACTGGATACAAGTAAACAAGTAAAATAGGAAATGAGTAAGACTGTATCAATGTCAATACTCTGGTCATGATATTATATTATACTATGGTTCTATAAAATGTGATCATTGAGAAACTGGGCAAAATATACAGGGAGGGGGTTCTGTATTTTATAACTGCATATGAATCTACAATTATCTCAATTTTTTTAATGCAATTCTTAACTACATGAAAAATAAAATGCTTTATAAGACAGAAAAGTAACTATAGAAAACAACTTAACCTAACAATTATAGTTTTCACAAAAACTAAAACATTGAAAAATGAGGTAACTAAAATTATGACTCTATTGTAAAGGTCTGAGGGAATGTGCTTGTACATGAAGGGATATGGGAAGAGAAGGTGAAAAAGAGAGCAATAATCTTATTGTTCAGAAAATCAATAGGTGATGCCTAAAACTGAAAAAAAAAATCAAAAGGTAGCAATATAGCATGTCATTTAGATACAGGGAAAACAAAATGCTTAAATCCATTAAAAATAGTTGAGAGGAGCTCATCATGGAATGAGAATTTTGGAGGTTGGGAGGAAGATCAAAAGAATGTTTGTTTATTTTGGGGGGGGCAAGGGTGTCATAAAATATATGTATATTTACTTGAGGCGTGATGCCATACAATTTACCTATTTAAGTATACAACCTATAGATTTTTAGTATATTCAGAGTTGCGTGATCACCACCACCATCAATTTTAGAATACTTTCATTTCCCCAGAAAGAAAACCTGCACCCATTGGCAGTCACTGCCCATTTCCTCCACTTTCTAATGTAGGTAAATATAGACAAAGATAAGCATAAATAAAATAGATTAAAAGTCACCCTGACTGCCAGCTGTGTGAAATGAGTCACCACTGACATCAGTATTTCCTATTGACATTCTTTTGCTTCTCACTGAACTTTATCTTAGAGGCAATGAATTCTTTGACAGTAGTTTCGGGATGGTATTGGTGACAAAACAAGCAAATATTCCAACACTCCTATTGTATTATTTTTATAATTGTGCTGAATTCAGAATAAAGCAAATCAAGACTAAATACTTCACCCCTAACAGCAATATGTATAATACAGAAAAAAAAGCCAAAGAGTGATGAATGATAGAGCCTTTGCTAATATCAATATTTTGAGGGTGTTTTATTTGTTGTTGTTTTTTTGGGGGGGTTATTGTTGTTTACTCCTTATCTCACCCCATCCTTGACAATGTGTCTTGGCAATATTCAGGATGGGTGAGTATACAATGTACTTTGTTCAAAAACAGTGGTGGAAAAGTGATTTTAAAGGTAAAAGTGGATGCTCTCTACCAGAGGATGCTCTTGAGCAAATCATCTTAAGAAAGAGCACATAGAAACTGAAGATCTGTAAAGTGATATTCTTAAACATACATGCCACAAGCCTTTGGAAGTATTCAAGAAACCCCAGGGATATGTGAATACCATGGTAAGCTCACGGCTCTAATGTAGCATGCTCTCTTTCATTTCCAATCTATCCCACAGAGCTAGAAAACTCTTCCCCACTCCCACTCCCACTCCCAGTCTCACCCCCACTCCCACCCCCACAGCCACCACCTTTAACACTCCAATGTCTAACTGTCCCTTTGCTTCAGCTCACATGCTCCTAGGTAAGAATGGATCCCCCTCCATTTCTTCTATAGCTCTCCTTCTCCTATGTTGACATTACAATGTGTCACCAAAACCTGCTGATTTTTGTGTTTGGAGATGACAAGTTCTGGGTCAGAGATATTTATTACTCTATCCCAGACCAGCAAAATGCCTACCTAGCATATATAATAAGTATTCAAAAAATTCCTGTTGAAAGAACAAATGAAGAAACATGAAGTCTTTTGTGAGGTTGACCAACCTAGAAAGCATGCAGTCCACGATTCTCTCCTTTCATAAAAACAATCCTAGGGCTCTTGGCTCCCTACTGAAGGTTACTTCATCTCAGCAGTGCTTGGCTTTACTCCCCTGCATGTTTGGTGACAACTATTCAATTCTGTAGCAGCACATTTCCACCATCCCAGCTTCCTTCAGCCAATGAGGTCAATAACCCAACTATTGAATTAATTCCTCCATGGTGGTTTGGGACAAGACAGAAACATGCTTGGCAGCCAGAATAATATCCAGGAAAAGGAGGCACACCACACCAATCAGGCCCAAAGGAGAGAACATCGAGGTTGATCTCAGGTAGAAAAAGAGTAAAGGCTTTTTCTATGACAGTTTTGTATAATCAAATGACCCTTTAAATATGCACATGAAAAGTTTTTAGATTAAAATTTGATGTTTAAAAATGTCCTACTCTATTTAGTTTAAAGTTTAGGAGTGGAAGAAATTAGCAGATAAAAACTAATGTGATAAACATTATGCAAATATTGGACACTTTATCTTGCCTACTAGTATATTAGACAGTGCTCTAAGGATAGATTGCTGCCAGTTCCATAGTTTTATAACTCTCTGTGATATCTAGCACATCAACAAGCAATAGATACTCAAAATAGTCTTTCTTTACAGAGTAGATGGTGTTACACTGTAAATATATAACAATATCTGGATTATCACAAGAATTGGGGATTTCATATTATCATGATTGAGCTTATTCTTTAACAACACATTCAGAGAATAATTCAAATCTTAGGGAAGCTGTTTTTGTATGCCCTAACCACCCAAATCCCCCCTCCTGCCAAAAAAAAATTTAATCAGAAAGGTCTTGCCGAAACCGGTTTGGCTCAGTGGATAGAGCATCGGCTTGCGGACTGAAGGGTCCCGGGTTCGATTCTGGTCAAGGGCATGTACATTTGTTGTGGGCACATCCCCAGTGGGGGGTGTGCAGGAGGCAGCTGATTGATGATTCTCTCTCGTCGATGTTTCTAGCTCTCTATCCCTCTCTCTTCCTCTCTGTGAAAAATCAATAAAATATATTTTAAAAAAAAGAAAGGTCTTGAAGCCGAAACCGGTTTGGCTCAATGGATAGAGCATCATTCTGTGGACTGAAAGGTCCCAGATTTGATTTTAATCAAGGGCAAGTGCCTTGGTTGCAGGCACATTCCCAGCAGGAGGCAGCTTATTGATGATTCTCTCATCGATGTTTCTAATTCTCTATCCCTCTATCTTCCTCTCTGTTAAAAATCAATAAAATATATTTTTTTTTTTAAAAAGAAAAGGAAAGTCTTGAAAACTGGCATGGTCGGTAAATGCTTAAAGATTCTTTTTTATTCACAAATTAAAAGATTCAAAATCTACAAATACATAAACTCGGGGGGGCGGGAACATGTATAGGTGGGGGGGCAATGGAAAGATATGTACACATATAATACCTTAATAAAAATAATTTTAAAAATCTACAAATACTTCCAAGAAAGGTAAATTTTTTTTCAGCCTTACTGAGATATAATTAACAAATAAAATTATAAAATACTAGAGGCCCGGTGCACAAAATTCGTGCATGGGTGGGGTCCCTAGGCCTGGCTGGTGATCAAGGCCAATCAGGGCTGTCTCACCGAGTCCCAATCGGCAGCTGACTGCTGGCTGCCTGCCAGGGCTTCCAGTTGCCAGCCAGGGCCAGAGGGATGGGGGAAGGACTGGACCTCTGGAGGTTGCCTAGCCGTTGGAGGTTGGCAGTGAGAGTGCACTGACCACCAGGGGGCAGCTCCTGCATTGAATGTCTGCCCCTGGTGGTCAGTGCATACACATCATAGCAACCAGTCCTTCCACTGTTTGGTCAATTTGTATATTAGCCTTTTATTATATAGGATTTAAAGTATACAGTGTGATGACTTCATATACATTGTAAAAGGATTCCCACCTTCTAATTAATTAATATTTCTATTACCTCACAAACAAGGAAGTAAAATTTAATAAGTAAAACCTAACATCTTCTGTCATGACTTCAAAACAATCTCTCAATAATCACAAAATTCTACTTTATCTCTATTTAAAAAATGAATGTTTCATTAAGTAACAATTTGATTAATATTTTTTATTTCAATAATCTCTTCAAATATCCATACCTTTTTATAATACCTATGTAGATCAAAGTATAACAACCACTTGGCCTGTGTTGCTCAATGGTTAAGCATCAACCTATGAACCAGGAAGTCATAGTTCAATTCCTGGGCAGAGCACATGCCCAAGTTTCAGGCTCAATCCCCAGTAGGCAGCCATTGAAAGTCCATTGAAAGTCAATGACAAAAGCTAAGGGAATAAGACTTCAAAACAAATGAAAAGGTATAAACTCAAAAAGGAGAAATATGGTGGGCCATAACTTCTCTTAATAAATACAGCTGAGAACTATATCTGAAATCATTTTGCATCTTCTTAATTATCACAAAGAAGTAACCTGCAAAAATACTTGTACTGCACTTTGCATTACTATCACCTTAAATGATATTTTCTAAAAAACATTTTAAAAATCTCATGAAATTCTTAGCACTTACTGCTGTAAGGCCTTCATTATTACAAATGTTGACATCAGCACTATATTCTAATAATTTACTCATACATTTCTTCTGCCTAAAAAGAAAGAAAGACAATCACAAATAACTGATACTAGAAATACAAATAACTATTATGTTAAAATATTAACTACACTCAACATTAGTTGAGTGTAGTTAATATTTAAGTATCAATCCATATCTTTAATATTTAAATAAACACTATAACATTTGAAATAATATACAAAATTGTTTCTAGACTTGAAAATAACAGGATAAAGAAAAGGCACAATAAGATTTTCATGTCATTGGGACACTCATCATCCAAAATGCTGAGAAATTTCTAGTGTTGTCTGAATGTCTGAAATTGTAATCTCCATTAGCAATCCTATATAATGAAGAGGTAATATGCAAATTGACCATCACACCCTCACACAAGATGGCTGGCAGGGGAGGGCAGTTGTGGGAGATAAGGCCAACAGGGGAAGGCAGTTAGGGGTGACCGGGACAGCAGAGGAGGGCAGTTGGGGAGGACCAGGCCTGCAGGGGAGGGCAGTTAGGGGTGATCAGGCCAGCAGGTGAAGGCAGCTGCGGGGGGACCAGGTCTGCAGGGGAGGGCAGTTAGAGCAACCAGGCTGACAGGGGAGGGCAACTGGGAGCAATTGGGCCAGCAGGGAAGCATGAATTCATGCATGGTGGGGTGTAGCCAGCCTGGCCCAGGAGAGGAGACATGGGAGGTTGGCTGGCCTGCCTGCTGGTCAAACTTTTGGTCCAGGGGATAATATGCATATTAGTCTTTTATTATATAGGATATACACTGAATGGCCAGATTATATTATCCACTCAGAGATCATAATCATCTGGCCACTCAGTATATATATGCTTTAAGGAGATATGATATAGTCCATGGCATAAAAAGTTTATCTACTTGAATAATTATATGCATAAAAATACATAACAGTGTATGTGTACTATATTATATGTACTATATTATGTATATACTAGAGGCCCAGTGCTCAAAATTCATGCACGAGCCATGGGGGGGGGGGGGGAGGCCCTCAGCCCCGGCCTGAACCCACTCCAATCTGGGATCCCTCTCACAATCTGGGTCCACTGGCTCCTAACTGCTCACCTGCCTGCCTGTCTGATTGCCCCTAACCACCTCTGCCTACAAGCCTGATTGCCCCTAACAACCTCTGCCTGCTGGCCTGATCGCCCCCTAACTGCCCTCACCTGCCAGCCTGATCACCCCTAACTGCCTCTGCCTTGGCCCTCGCTACCGTGGCTTTGTCCAAAAGGACATCTGGAAGCTGTCTGGTCTAATTAGCATATTACCCTTTTATTACTATAGATAGTATTAATCTATGAGTACAGTTTTCACATATGTAGTATATGGCATTCAGAGTATTTAGTACATACAATATACATCTGTATATATCACTACTCAATTAGATCATAAATTTCTTCATGCCATGGATTATATCATATTTCTTTAATCAACTCAGTACTAAGCATAGCTAGGCATTCTCAATAAACTTTATAGATTATTATTAATCTTACAAGTCAACAGCTACAAATTTTATTGGCTGAAGAATTCTATCAAATAAAGAGGGAATATGCTAATTGACCATCAGTCTGTTACAAAGATGGCTGCACCCACAGCTGAGGCCAAGTTCCCATAAGGAACCTTAGCAAGCAATCAAATAAATTTAGAGTACCTTGAATAATAACAACACAACTTAATCTATTTAAGAAAAGGAAATATTTACCCATTTCTTGCTGCCAAATGAAGTGGTGTGCAGCCTGAAATATCTTGATAGTTCGGATTTGCTCCTTTCTTTAACAGCAGAACCAAGCATTCCACAGATCCACAACTAAAGCAATATTAAAAATAGATCAGATACATTCAACAATCAGCCAAGTTGCTATAGCAATTATTAAAGAACAAAAAGACTTATTAAACAAGTTATTTTTGAGGTCCATTTTAACCTAAAAGATTATTTCTGTCAGAAATAATAAATATCCCCTACTTTAAAATATAGGATGGGCAAAAGTAGGTTTATAGTTATTCTATGGAAAATAATACTGTACCTAATAAAATAATAACATAAGAATAAACTCTGTTTCATGTACTCACAATTGAATACCTATTTTTGCCCACCCCTGATTAAGGCCAATGACCATGTATAGTTAGCATATAAAATCTCATATTGGTTGAGTAAAAAAAAAATTTCAATGAGTCTAAATATTTCTAAAAAAGATAACCCAGTGCCTAACATACTCTGCTCTGATCTACAACAAGCTAAGACAGTAGATGCGAGACTTGAGTACAATCCCAAAATTAACAATACATTTAGGTAAAGAATATAAGCACAGACCTTAATCTATACAGAACCATTCAGATGTCTGTTCTCATTTCTCTCCATAACTACCTGGGCAACACTGTTTCAAATCCTACTACTGATCATTACTTTAGACCAGAATTCAATTCAAAATAACTTTAATCTTACTTTGCTGCAATGTGAAGCAAGCTTCTTTTCACACGTCCAAATGCATAATTAACATCAAACTTCGAATTTGATAGTAGTTCAGAAACAGATCTATAAAAAAGAATATTAAAAGAGTTGATACATTTTAAAAGTTTTAAAAAAACAAAGATCTAGAGTTCATAGCTCTTTAGTTACGATTATCAACATATTTAAAATATACTATCCCAAATAAACCAAAAAATGGACAGTTTTCAAAGTGTAGCATGACATCCAGCAAAGTATCATCCAAAAACCAAATGCTCTGACATATAAACTATTGCTGGATGTTTCTTTGCACTCTGTGTGATCTGCTCTGAGGATATCCAAGTAGTCCTCAGCTCCCCCTTAGAATTTTTTTTTAAGAAATAGTACTTCATTTAAAGAATATATATGTTTTTATTGATTTCAGAGAGGAAAGGAGAGGGAGAAAGAGATAGAAACATCAATGATGAGAATCATCTAACAGCTGCCTCCTGCATGCCCCCTACTGGGGATGGAGTCCACAATCTGGACAAGGCATGACCAAATCTAACCATGACCTCCTGGTTCATAGGTCAACACTGAACCACTGAGCAACACCGGCAGGGTTCCCCTAAAATACTGACAAAGAGAGTAGGGTTTTCTGCTCCCCTTGCAGAAACCTGAGCCCATCTATATTAATTTTGTCCAAATAAGAAAAATCAAAGACAAAAAAAATATTTTAATTGAATCAGACAGGAGGTTTAAAGCAAAAAACTGGTTTCAAAATATAGTTTCTCTTCACTTTCTTCTCATTATACCAAATTACCCAATGGCTAACCATAGCAGAGCTGTCTGCTGCAAGTGTAAACACCTCATCCCACAGTCAGATAACTGTATCTTATATGACCAACCAAATACCTGACTTAATATCTGACTATTAATTTAGAAAATCACTTACCATAGGATCTCAGAAAATCTTTTTCCTTAATTCAGAGACAGAAAATTATAACAGGTTAAATAACTTTCCCAGGACATCATCTATGAACAAACTGTGTGTGTGTGTGTGTGTGTGTGTGTGTGTATGCATGTGTGCATGTGTGTATGCACATTTAGATAAATTTATACTTCTCAAAAAGTATAAATTTGTAGAATAGGAACTCACCTGTGTTGATCAGCCATAACCATTGGCATTAATGTGTAAACTGCAGTTTCATTATCTGAGTAAAACAAAACAAAACAAAAACAGAAAAAGAATTCATTTATTTCAGACTTTATCCAAAGGGTAATGCCTAAAACTATCTTAAAATTTTCTTAATTTCACATAAAAAGTGAGGAGAAGAGGTAAAAAGTTAAGGATAGTGCAGAATGCCACAGGTATTGCAAAAATTTGCAACACATAACTTCTTATCCTCTCTACTTGCTCACTCCCTCTACATCACCACAAAACTGCTTAATTTCTAGATCTGAGGGAAAAATTAGAGCCCTCACAATTTCCGTACCTTTAACAACTAAAATTTGTTTTAGTTCCAAAGAGATATTTATTGACTTCATGTTTTATCATACTTACATATAATTTGGGGAAACTTATCCTATATATATAATAATAAAAAGGTAATATGCAAGTCGACTGGACAGCAGAATGACAGGTCGCTATGACATGAACTGACCACCAGGGGCAGATGCTCAATGCAGGAGCTGACCCTTGGGGACCAGTGTTCCACAGGAGGAGCTCCGCTCAGCCAGAAGTAGGTTAAGCAGAGAGAGCGCAGTGGCAGGAGGCTCTCCCACCCTCCAAGGCAGTGCTAAGCAGCAGGGAGCCTGGAGTAAGGAGCAATGGCTAATGGACTGCAATAGGGATGTCTAACTGCTGGCTTAGGCCCCAGGAATTGGCCTAATCAGGCAGACATCCCCCGAGGGATCCCGGACTGTGAGAGGGCGCAGGCAGGGATGAGGGTACCCAAACCCCCTACTCCCGTGCATGAATTTTCATGCACTGGGCCTCTAGTAAGTATGCACGGATATTAAAACTATATATGCTAAATAATTTTAAAAACACTAAACACACATGCTTGCTTCTTGACGATATTATAAATGAAATATTTTAGAAGCTTTTACGAAACTGTTAAAATCTTACTTTGACTTATTACTTTTAATTAGTCACATCTTCATTTATATATTTTATAGAAACAAGTTCACACAAGCATGATCCAAACGAAAACATCAATGATGCCATATTATACTTACATAAGTTTCGGCCAGTTATTTACAAAGAAGTAACACTGACAACTCCCATTTAGCTCTTCAAACGTTAAGACCATCCTAGCCAGTTTTGCTCAGTGGATAGAGCTTCAGTCCACAGAATGAAGGGTCCAGGGTTCGATTCTGGTCAAGGGCACGTACCTTCCTGGTTTACAGGCTAGATCCCTGGCCCAGGTCAGGCTACAACCAATAGATGACTATCTCTTACATCCATGTCTCTCTCTCTGTCTCGCTGTCTCTCTCTCTCTCTCTCTCTCTCTCTCTCTCTCTCTCTCTCTCTCTCCCCCTCTCCCCCTCTCCCTCTCTCTCTCTCTCCCCTCTCCCTTTCACTCTCTCTAAAATTCCTAAACTGCAGGGATCACGCCTTGTTTCTTTGTAGAAGCTCCCAGCCCCCACCAACGTGTGATGAATAGATCAAGAATGATCACGGAAAGGCGTATTAAAGAAAAGGTGTAAAATATCATCATATCATGTACACAGAGTATTTTAAGAGTACAAGTTTGACATGCGCCACCTTATTTACCTATTGTCAAAATACAATAGTGCTCCACGCTTTCCAAAAGCAGAGACTGCTGAACCGCCCTCAGCAGCCTGGAGTAAACAATCCCAGGGCCAGTGAGAGGACCCACCGCTGTCACGTTTCTGGGACCCGGGTCCCCGCCATCCGCCAGGAGAGGCTCCGGTCTCTTCTGCTTCTTCCACGCGAAGGACCCGCACAGCCCGGCGCTCCCCGCACACCCCACCTGCGCGGGCGGCGCGGGGGTCCCAGCCCGGCCGCTCCGGCTCAGGAAAGTAACCGGGGCCATGGGGCCAGCTTTCGGCGAGTTTCCCAAGGATTTCCCCAGGGTCCGCGCTCCGCCCCCGCCCCGGGCGCCCCCGCTCCCGCCCCCCGCCCCCCGCCGCGCGGCCCCCGCTCAGCTCACCGTCCGGCAGCTCCACGGTGCGGGCGCGGCGCAGCGAGCGAGTGAGGCGGTTGAGTTGCTCCATCGCTCTCTCCATCCTCGGGGCGCCCTCCGCGCGCCTCCAGCCGCCCCGGCGGCCTCCGCGCCCGGCGCCCTACATCCCGCCCCGACCCGTCCTGCGGGCGGAGGCGCCGGCCGGCCCCGGTCAGCGCCCGGGACTGAGAGAGAGGACCGTCCGGGGCCGCGGTTCCCCGCCCGGATCGCGGGAGTAGCCGGACAGACCACCGAGGGAACACACCCAGCACCGGCGCCTCCGGGGCTCTTCCGGCCGCCCCGGTCCTTCCCTCCTCGACTCGCACGGCCTTCTGGGAACTGTAGTTCCGAGCCCAGCTCGCCGGGCGACTCGGGCGGAGCCACGCAGGGTGCGCGGCTGGCTGACTCCTCACTCAGGCCCCGCAGAAACCCGGGGCGGTGTGTGCGGAGGAAAGCAATGCCATGCCGGGGCGTGCCCCCAACTTCCTGGAGAGAGTTTCGGGGTGTCACCGCGCCCACTGCTCTCGTTCTCCAAAGTTGTACGCGAGAGACATTTCCTTGGCCTTCAGTTCTATCACTTTCCTGGTTAAAACAGAAACCATCATCTCGGTTTTGGGACATTTGTTTTTCAGATACATAAACTGTTGAAATATTATACAATTTTTATATGTCAAATCTAAAGAATAATAACGTCATACAAATGGAAAAGCAGGAGATAGTAGTACTGCAGCTTCATAAACCTTGGAGTAGAGCAATTTGAGACATCATGTTGCAGAATTTATCAATGACAATCTACAGTAGCATTCTGTAATGTTCTAGCACCTTCTGCTCCTGTGGCAAACAATGGGCAGGAATGGGGAGTGAAGCCCTCCTTGGAGGCTTTTGGGGACTCCTGCCCCTACCCACAAACTTTAGGCTTGGTGTGCACAGGACACTGGAAGCAATTTATGTAGAGCAACAGCCTAGGTAGTGGTGGTGATAACAGGGATTGAGGTGCTAGCTTCTGTCCAGCACTGGGCAACTTGACTTTATGAGTGGTATTGAAAGGCCAAGAAAGGTTGGAGCATTTCTTGTTGAAACTAGATTGCAATGGGTTGTGCATGGCCCAGACTGTCCATTTGTCATTCCTTGGAAGCTGTGACCTCTCCACCTTGTTGCCAGACTGGTTGGTTGGGTCTCATCTGAACCAACTGGTTAGTAAGTCCACACTGAGCCTGTTGCACCACTGGAACGAGTGACTGGTGGCTGCAGATTGAAACTGACTTAAGATGGCATGGCAAGGAACACCTGTGCCAGCCACCATCTGCCCCCACATAGCCTGGATGGGCAAGTAAGACTAACTTCCTTCTTCTGGACCAGCCAACATACATTATCGACATACCTGTGCCCATTCATTGTAGGAAAAACTTTGCCTTCCTGAGGAAGATGCTGTGAAAGTCCAAATTCTTTGCTTCTCTTTTACATTTTGGCACTGGTTAGATCCAAGAAAAGAAAATAAACCCTTATCATTTGATTGTAAGTGGTGTTAGCCAAGCTCATATTTGTTCACATGGATCAATAGAGGGGTTTTTTTTTCCCCATTTAAGTAAAATTTTGTCTTTTTATTTTTAAAAAAAATACATTTATTTATTTATTTTATTTTTTATTTTTTTTACAGAGAGGAAAGGAGAGGGATAGAGAGTTAGAAACATCGATGAGAGAGAATCATTGATCAGCTGCCTCCTGCACACCTCCCACAGGGGATATTTCTCACAACCCAGGTACATGCCCTTGACCGGAATCGAACCTGGGACCTTTCAGTTTGCAGGCCGATGCTCTATCCACTGAGTCAAACCAGTTTCGGCAAATTCTGCCTCTTTTAAATATTCAACTTGGGTTAAATAAAAGATGGTGAGTTCATTCAGTCCCAAATTCAATGCAAACAAATATTTATGTACAAGGTGCAAGGTAGAAGTACAATAAAGAAGACTTTTACTCTCAAGGAGCTCAACTTTTGGAAAGAAAGTTAAGACATGTACCCATGTGATAGCAATAAATAGAAAGGTGTGGAAAGTTCTGCAAGTTGTGCCAAAAACCCTGGGGATGTGAGGGAGAGGGTCATCAATGTATTGTAGGGAGGGAATAGAATTAGTGAAAATTTCATGCATGAAAATGAGGTCAAGTTAACACAGGGTGAATAGAAACAAGCAGGACAGCCGATTAATAGCAAATAACAGTTGATACTTGAGCATTCATAGCTGATTTAGCTGAGGCTTATAAGTAATTGTATAATTAAGGCTAACTAACATGTGTTAGACAGATTTAAGTTAGCATTGAATCCCTGCTTAGGAGCTTGAAGCCAGTTCCACAAGCAGTGAGAAGCAACATAATCAAGCAGCAGAGGAACAAGAGAGTGGCAACAAGTGAATGAATGATGAGGTCACTATCCAGGTGAGTGGAAACAAAACATGCTATTGTGGTGGGAGTGAAGAAAAAAAAAGATAGGTGTGAGTACTATGGATTGACAGGATGCAGAATCTAGATTGTAGATGGGTAAGAGGTAAAAATTACTCCAAAAGTAATGGTAGTCAGGAGTAAGTTCTTTTAAGGGAAAAAAGCTTGTTCAAAAAATTGTTAAAACTAAATTGATTAACATAAACAGACCTGGAGACAGAGAAGCAGCTATCAGACTGTTGGGCCTCAGAGGGAAGGTAGGGGAGGGATAAAGGGGAGAGATCAACCAAAGGACTTGTGTGCATGCATATAAGCCTAACCAGAGGTCATGGACAACAGGGGGGTAGACATACATGGGGGTAGACATACATGGGGAGTGGTTTGGGATGGGAATGGGGAGATGAGGACAATTATGTGACACCATAATCAATAAAGAAATTTCAAAAAAAAATTGTTAAAACTTTTAAGCAAATTTTCATGGAGGAAGACAATTATTTTAAATTAAGTCATCTATTGCTCATAAAGCTAGGTCTGGGACATACAAATTTAGCGTAGTGTGCATTTAAATCTGTTTTCCCTCCACTTTGGCACAGTGGGCTTACTGATGAGCACATATGTTGTTTTTCTCTACTGATGTGCACATGCTGTGTCTCTAACCCCAATCATTAGATTACCCAGTTTGGAGAGTCTTATCAAGGCTGAGTCCAGAGTATGGGATGATCTCATGCTAAATACATTTAATAAATGCATCTGTCATCTGAGTCCTGATTTCCCACATCAAAACAGTGTGGAGTTTGATTTACATAAAATCACCTTCAACTGCCCATGAATTGATTTGTTCACCTTTTGTTCAAGACAATGAATGTAGTGAAAAAATAAACGGTCAAATTTCCCAGGATAGAGTGGTTTATGACTAGGGATTGAAGACACAAGCTGCTTCCTACTTAATCCCACAGTTCTTTGGGGTAGGTAGAGTATAGTTTGATGAGTCACCAAATGAATTAAAACCAATAAAATGATGTACTCCAATGTATATTTTTAAAAGTACTTCCCTAGCTACTAAGTAGAGAGCAAACTGTGAGAAGGTACAAAAGTGCAAGATAAGAGGTCGGTTAGGAAGTTATAGCAATGGTTCTGTAGAGGGATGGTAGAAGATTAAACCAGGATTGTTTCAGTGAAGATGGTGAGATATAGTGGTTTTTGAGAATTTGCTGGGGGATAGGATGAGAGGTTTGAAAGAAAGAGAGCAGTCAAGGGTCTGAGATTTAGAGCTAAGAATTTTGTCCTGATTTATTGGGTGATTGGAGTTGCCATTTTTGGATATGGAGGACACTGGAAGAGGAGCAGGTTGGGACGGGGAGGATCGAGAGTCTTTTAAGTTTGAAATACTTATTAGACATCTAAGAGGAAATGCCAATAAGTCTGGCATTGAGAAAAGAGGTCAGGACTAGACATATTTCTCATATCATTATATTACATATCACATCAGCATTGGATAATATTAAAACCATCCATTCACTGGATGAGACTCCTTAGGGAATGACATCAACATTTACACACAGGAAAGTGTAGATGGACCTAGCGAAGCAGTGAGAATTGGTAGGTCTGAAGCCAACTGAAGAATGTACTTAAAGTGCTCCAACATGAGAGTTGGAACTAAGAAGATTGAAAATTGACTCTTGGGTTTGGCAGTACGGAGGTCATTTAATGTCCTTGATACTTGCAATTTCAGTGAAGTGATAAGTATAAAACTGACTGGAATAGGCTTAAATGAAACTTTTCCTACAAATGCTGAAGATAATGTTGATTGGTATTACTCACTTGGAAGACAGTTGGACAGTATTTACCAAAATTGAAATGTACATATATTTGACCTAGCAATTTAACTTGGTATTTATTCTGTAGATATACTTGCATATGTGTAAAAATAACATTTGTAAAGGTAACTTTTTAAATTTACCACCCTAACTATCTTTAAGTGGAAACTATGTGATGGGATGGAGGTAGTAGCTAATACTGTAGTGGTATTCATTTTGCAATTTATAAGTGTATCAAATCAACACATTGTATACCTTAAATTTAAACAATGCTATGTATCAATTATATCTCAATAATACTGAAGGAGGGGGGCAGGAAGAAAACAGATAGTTCAAGGGGGAAATCTGGATTTTAAGGAAGCAGGTAATGTTTTAAGATATTGAACATTATAATATTGGATGGGTTTGTGCTATCTCCTTTGTTAAGGAAATTAGATGTTTATATCCCTGCTAACCTTTATCAATAACAATAAACATGTAATTTGCTAGTTAGACTGGACAGCCAAACAACCTTCCAGATATCCTTCCAGATGAAGCTAGGGCTGTGAGGGCTGAGCTTCTTGTACGGAATTCATGCATTGAGCCTCTAGTATGCTACAATCGTAGTAATTGTCTGCTCAATAAAAATAAAAGAGAGTAACTGTGAGTTCATGGATGACCCAAGGCAAAGTTGTCAGAATCTGCACGAGAGGCTGTAATTACAGGACCAAATTCCACCATGACTGGAAGTCTAATTGTCGCTCAATACCAGAGATCTGGGAATATTAAAGAATTATTTCTAAATCACCACTGCCACATATTTTAGAGCTGCAGG